CAACGGCCACCACTATCTGGTGGCTGTGGACCGTTACAGTAACTGGCCTATCGTGGAGGAGTCTGCGGACGGCTCCAAGGGCCTCATCGCTGCACTGCGGCGCATCTTTGTCACGTTTGGCATCAGTGACGAGCTATCATCCGACGGTGGCCCGGAGTTCACAGCAACTGCCACTCAGCAGTTCCTCCGTGATTGGGGAGTACGGCATCGCCTATCCTCTGTAGGATTCCCCCACAGTAACAGCCGAGCGGAGATAGCAGTCAAAACCGTCAAGCGACTGATATCAGACAGTTCACTGCCAGATGGTAGTCTGGACACAGATCGTTTTCAGCGTGCCGTACTACAATACCGCAACACGCCGGACCGCGACACTCGCATGTCGCCCGCCCAAGTTATCTTCGGACGGCCGATCAGGGATTTTATCCCAATCCATCCCGGAAAATACCAGCCCCACAGCACATGGCGGGAGACCCTCGCCTACCGCGAAGAGGCACTTCGCAACCGTCACATGAGGACGCACGAGCGGCTCTCCGAACACACTCGGATGTTGCCCCCACTCGTCGTCGGTGACACAGTGCGTCTTCAAAACCTCATAGGTCCGCACCCCATGAAGTGGGACAAGACGGGGATCGTTATCGAAGTACGTCAGTTTGACCAGTACGTGGTGAAGGTTGACGGATCTGGACGTGTTACCATCCGCAACCGCAAGCATCTACGCTCCTACACCCCGTTCATTCCTCGCCCGCCACTGGCACGAGAGGTGAGACTACCACAGATCCCACGGACGCAGTCCCGAGACGAGAGTTCCGTGAAGAGGGACACGCAGGATCCATCGCGCGGATTGCCACTGTCCCACAGCGCCGGCGACCGTTCGCGCACACTCGCCAACCGCCCCAGTCCACCCACGCCGCCTCACAGCGACATGGCCTCGTCTCCCCGCTCTCTCATCCCCCGTGAGCCGGCACCTGAACCGGCCAGCCAGCCAAGCAGCGCGTCACCTTCCCACCACTTCGCCCCATCCGCGACACCCAACCGCTCGCCCGGGAAGAGCGCGCGCATGTGTTCTCCTGCTCCGGTCGAGCACGAGAGGGAACCCGCCACTTCGCCCCCTGCTCTCCCGCGATGTACTCGTCATAGCGTCCGGGAACGCCACCGACCGCAGTACCTCGATGACTATGTTTGCGAGTGACATGTCCTTCGGTTGTGCGTTACGATGTCGTTCTATTTCATTGTCAACAGAGTTCTTTGCGTTTGTCCATTTGTCTTCAGACTTTGGCACCATACGGTACCTAAAGTCTCGAGGGGGGATAGAGGACCGTGGTACCCATGTATCGTTTGTAAGTGTTTTATCCTTGCCTGCATCACTCCCAGCTAGGTACACCTCTGTCCTGATGCTTCCTTCCTTGTACTTTCAGATGTGTTGGTCATTGCTGTCAAATACAATCCGAAGCAAATGACTGAGGTCTATTTATGCTCCCGATTACGATTCAATAATGTTAGCAATTGGGACGAACTAAATTGATTTCTCCTTCGGGCAAGAGAACGGGCCGTGCATCAAATGTGCAACTAGTAAACACTTATTTATGCTTGAAAAAGGGAAGGGTAGTTATCCTGCACCGAAGCAGTGCTGAATCTGGTCATCGATCCATATGAATTCCCCTGTATAACTGATACCTATGCTAAACGGCTACTGCGTGTAGGTAATAAGCATTTCCTCAAACGTAGCGTCTGAAGTAATTAACAATTAGTTCGATGTCTATTTACGGTTTATTCATTCGGGGAATTGCTATGAATGCTGAAAACATCCTACCTGTAAAAAATCCCGATATGAGATCTGCGGGATCACAAGTCATTATCCACTGAACTTGCGGTTAATTTGCACTTATATGTATAGGTAAGACACGTCCAAGTTTTATTCAAGTCTACAGCATGACACTGCACTTGCAGATACCGATAGATAATGTTATTAAAACAAAGTAATTATATCGCTCAGTTCTTTATTCAGGCAACGCACGCACAATGATAAAGAAAACAAAAGTAACAGTGACGCGCAATCTATTTAGCTTAAAAATAAGCCGTTCAGTGGTCACCGTAAACGAAGGAAATAGTTCACTTTCACGAAATTATTTTTTTTGCAATGGATTTGTGATTTTTTATGTTCAAAATGATCAGCAAAGAAAATAAAACCTTTTTACAACAAAAGATTATTTTCTATATTTTTGATATAGGAAGAACTTTTCAGTTTCTGTAAGGCACACGCGATCCAGTATGAAAAGAGCATGGGTCCCGAAAATTCTTCAGAAACTGAAAATTATCACGGCCACCGGCATTTGGGCGATCTGCTCATGCTTTTGTTACTGGAGCGCCTCACTGGAGCGAATTTCTCTAGAGTTCTCGTAGATAATTTCTCTAGTTTCTGAAGAATTTTCGGGACCCATGCTCGTTTCATACTGGATGCGAATATATGCAAGGCACACATCCTCAACGCAAGACACATTTTTCGGGACGAGAAATAGAATATCTTTGCCTAGGGTGATCGTTGGGCTGTAAAAGCTCCTGATTTATGCTCGTCTCAGCCCAAGCTACGGAACTGCTATTCCAGTTCAAAACCCATGTTAAAATGTGAACTATTTCCTTTAAACGTTGACTCGACGTTTTATCAAAAATAAACCGCAAGAAGGCAGAATTAATCTGTTACTTGTGCTGCATGGAATGCGGTTTATTTATTTTATCTCTTACCATACAACTACCGGCTCGAATACTCTGGCATACCTTTACCTACCTAATAACGGTGTTACCTACCGCGTTATAATTGATATTTTCTTTTATATGTTTGCTTTCGGTGTGAGGCTGTGAAGTCAGAATGTCATTGCATAACGTTTACAATAGTGACCTCGAATACTTCACCTTGCCGTTTATTTTTCGGCCCGAAAGAGATGTGTGCGACTCCAATTGGCAATTAATTTACATAAAATGCATGTATTTCTTCGGCTCACAGACTGGCTGAGTTATGTCATACACGTGTTAGGGGGGCGCGGAGCCACACCTCTGTTGTAAGTGCCTCACAAGGCCATGTCTGGCGCCGCGCTTGTAGAGCTGACAGCCTAACAACAAATCCCCGGTTATGTGACGCCATCAGCCGGCGCCCTGTTCGCTGCGAACAACTCCAGATAGACGGATAGCTGCATTGAGAAGAGTGGCCGCTCTTTAGGGGTAGTACAGCAGGGAAGGGCGCGGGGAGGGGAGACTCGTCACGCAACATTCTTCACACACGGCGGGATCTGGATCTGTCAGCCGACTGACCTGGTGCCTCCAGTTCGTTCGGTGGTACACCGCCTAACCTGTCCCGTCCCGGCACGGCTCGAAGGAGGAGAGGTGCATCGACTGCCGACCAGTTTCTGTTTTGTCCCTACAGAGCATCCTTGGTGTGGCTAAGTGGACCTGTCGAGGCTCGAGGCTGAGCTAATAAAACTGGTCCAAACAACACATGATGCAACAGGGATGTGATGTGTGCACTGTGCACTGTGCAGTGCACCGACACTTCGGACAGGACGTGTAGGGCGGGCCCGGGGCCGCATCATGCTTTTGTGGTGCATCTTACACACTGATTTTGAAAGCGCCTTCTCAAGCCCTCCCAGTCTGGAACCTTCAGCAGGTTTCCAAGCAGGGCTAGGTAATCGTCCCATGGGCAGTTTACATGGAACAATAAAAACTCCAATTACGGACCGGGCGGGCGCTTCCCCAGTCGCTCGTACTCCCCGCCGGTCATCAGCTGACACTGGCGCGGTGCTCAGTGGGCCGCGCCCCCGCGTCCGACCCTCTGATTGGCTGGCGCCGCGATCGTACGAGCGTGGGCCGGCGGGGCGCCTCCTCGTGCACGGCGCCGCGGATCGACCGCACCGCGGTGGGCGGGGATGGTGGTGGGGAGGGGTGGCGGACGTCACTTGGCCGCTTGCCGAGGTTATCTCTTGTCTACCGACGTGCGATGTCACTGAGATGAGATAATTGCTCGCTATTAGCCTTTTCATATATACCTATCTATGCATCTTGAAAGGCAAGGACTTTTTGCCTTATTTGTTCTGGAACTCAAATTTTTTCATCGAGTGCTTCGTCTACCACGCATCGGCTATTGATGTTCTTTAGCTTATATTTGATTTGTTTTGCTACGATTACTATACTAACTAAATTTCGTCGCATCCATTGCGAGTGCGACGTCATGCAATTTCACCATTTCGTGGCCATGTTCCCATGAACTGCGTTCTTCTTCTAAATTGACGGCTCCTCAATGACCTCTGGGTTTGTTTACAACATCGACTGAGTTTTGCCGCCTTGGTTTTGCCGCTGGCGTGCCGGGCGGTTCGTCTTGGTTTCCTAATTGGTATCGATCCACCAACGATATTTCTTTCGATAAATTGATGTGCTCCATCCTGTTTTGTTATTACAGGCTTTTAATATATTTGTAAAGTCCAGGTATGTCGCTGAATTGGCCTGCTTCAGCTTGATTCAGTCGATTCTGGTTCAGCCCTACCCCAGGACCCAAGTTGGTGTGAATAAATAGTGTGTTATTTGCTCCCATAGTCGTTAAATGTCTTTTTTAGGTTACCCTTATGATGCTGTGACATAATTTCAATGTTAAACTTAAGTTATACAGCAAAATTGCTCTGAACATCTCAGTTTTGATTTGTCACTTCAACGCAAACTCAACTCATGAACTAATGATTCATTTCAGTTTAAATGTTTTAGTTAAGTGTATTTTGAGCTCATTTTCTTATTTTCTATTGATCACAGTGGAGCAGCACAAATTCTAATCACTTAACCCGGTTCGGTCCACCTATATCTATTGTTCTTAAACCTTTTTTACAAGCAATATGACTGCTGAGTGCTGACTTCTTTGGTTTATTTTTATCTTTATTTTTTGTGTTGTGTAACAGCTAGCTAGCATCAAAACTTTGTGACTCTGTGAATTATAAGCTGAAGCAGTTGTCTCTATTTCGTTGCAGGCAATATGTCTGGAGGAGAGGCCAACTTTCCAGCCCAGTTGGGGCATAGCAAGTCTTTGCCAGTCATGGGACATCAGAAGCTGAATTTTGTGGTGGCAACACCAGAAGAACTTGTCAAGCGGCTGGGAGGAACCCGTCCAATCAACAGGGTATGTCATGTTGAAGTTTCTGTAGTATTTTTGCTACTATTCAACTCTAATATATGCACTTAAATCCAGAATCTGTATTCTGTAATAAGTGATAATTCTACTCTTTCATGAATAGTTGAACTTTGACAAAACAGTCTCATTCATGGAATAATTAAGCAGTTTTAAACTTAAGGTCTTAAAACTGTACAGTAGTTTGGTTGAGTTGTTTAGTTACTTCAGCTAGTTCTGTGGATCATCTCAGCCAACTTGTGTTGCTCTTCTTTTTTTTTTGTATAAGCTCCTTGTTTTCTAATCAAGCCAATGCAAGCAAACTCAAACAGCTGGATTTTGCTTCCAGATACTCAAGTAGTTCAATTCATTAACTTGTATGTTGTACCTGGCATATATTCAGGAAATGGTTAATAATGCAAGACCATGACAGATCCATTTATATGTCAGTAAATACAGGAGACCCACTGCCCAAAATGTTAACCATTTTCATCTTTGATCATGGTGGCTAGTTAAAAGAAAATCCATTGCCTAGTTCATCTGACTCACAATGACTCATAATGACAAGATCTTTCATCTTTGTTAGTCTTGGCTGTCTCAACATTCAGTCCCTGGACTATTTCTGCCCCCAGATCCTGATTGCCAACAATGGGATCGCCGCTGTCAAGTGCATGCGCTCCATCCGCCGCTGGGCGTACGAGATTTTCCGTAACGACAAGGTGATCCGATTCGTCGCCATGGTAACGCCCGAGGACATGAAAGGTGAGCCCTCTTAGCTAGGAGCATGTGCGGATATATTGTGTGAGATGACATGTTGGGTGAGATGGGTAGAATAGGCTAAGCCATGTCGATAAATGAGGGGAACATAGGGGAGATGGTGGAGATCCGGACAATAGGTGGTAAGGGTTAAGGAGCGAGTCTGCGATTGTTTTCCGAATTTAGCACCGTTGCATCGCGGCTGGGTGGGGATGGACTTCCCAGGGAGGTCACTGGCCAGGTATGGACGCCTTCTGACCGGGCTAAATATGGGAGCGGGCTGTTGTCGGTGGTGTGTGGGACCGGAACACCCGAATCGGACGTCTTATCGGCCACCAAGGTTATCAACTGTTTTGAGAGTAGGCACTGAGGTGTGCGCTAACGGGACGAGGGTTGGCCCTGAACGTACGAGCGGTGTGTTTTGAGGTTTGTCGAGTATGACATGAATGTATGGTCTCAATGTGACAGGGAAACTTTTAGTGAACTCTGTAAAGTTATCGGAACAAGTCATTTTTAGATAAGCATATCGATTAGCCCGTTAGCCTCTATGTAAGTCTTTTTAGAAGACCGCACAATGCATTAGTTGTGTACTTCATCGGACACTCGCACTACAATGTTCAAGGCCATTGCAAGTGCACACCACTCTACATCCATCCGCCAGGTCGTAATAATATACACAGTGAACCGTCGGGTGATATCACCAGCTAGTAATAAATCATGTGCAACACAGGATACACCTCACAAATGCCGCTCTACAAATGTTATCGCAGGCTCATAGTCATGCTTAACAACAACGGGTCAGCTGAGCTCACATTAGTATCAAGTTATAAACCATGTGTAATGTGTATTGTGTATTTATCCGTGCCGGAAGTTCCGCCTCAGTGACTGTCTGGCCGACCTTTCGGCTTTCACCGTGTACCACCTGACCCCTCTGAGCACCGTTAGACCCCATCTCTCCCCGCCTCGGAGTACTGCGAGACCCTTCTGACCCATCCCCCGCCTACAGCGAACGCCGAGTACATCCGCATGGCGGACCACTACGTGCCCGTTCCGGGCGGCACTAACAACAACAACTACGCCAACGTCGAACTCATCGTGGACATCGCCAAGCGGATGTCGGTGCAGGCAGTGTGGGCCGGCTGGGGGCACGCCTCTGAGAACCCCAAGCTGCCAGAGCTGCTGCACAAGAGCAACATTGTGTTCATCGGTCCGCCGGAGAAGGCCATGTGGGCACTGGGTGATAAGATCGCCTCCAGCATCGTGGCGCAGACGGCCGACATCCCCACCATGCCCTGGTCGGGATCAGGTGAGTGCGGGGACTAGTGAAATAATCACGTGCTAGTTGAAAAAATGTGGGGCATTAAATTAAGATGCTTACTTCAGACTGTAGCACATGTTTGTGACCATGTTTTTACTTTTATGCAGCGGTAGCTCAATAAGATTTAATTAAAATTACGTTAGTCCTCGTACACCGCACTTATGTATAAGGACGGTACAATTTTGCCAAGCGATAGTTGACATCTTATTCTTCTTTGTCTCTGAAATATGCCTGCCATCTTCCGCTCCAAGACAGTCCAGTCCTTCCTAACTCTAAAGGCCGCCGTCCACTGCGACGGAATTCCGTCCGGAGTCCGTCAGGAATGTCGCCGCACGCTGACCGCATCCGGACCGCAGACGGAAAGCTCACGGACACTTGCTAACAATTTGTGAAGAGTAATTATCAATTATTACAAAAGAAAATATAGCAATTTACTAGCATAACATAGTGCTGCCATGTCAAAGAAATTATGTTTACTTACTTTATCATGAAAGAGTTGAAATTATTTTTTTCAATTTGCAATTGAAAACTTTGAAGACGGAAGACTGTACCTGTCCGCGTCCGTTCCGCCTGCGTTCTCCGCAGAAAAGTTCAACATGTCGGACTTTGTTATTTCCTTTCCGTAGCAACCGCTTCCGGAACGCTTGCGGAGAGCTGACGGAAAATCAACAGCTGATTGCCGTTCGGATGCGGTCCGCACGGAGCGCACACGATTTCCGTACGGACCGGATGCGCCCATAGGGTTCTGTGTTAAATTCCGTACGGACCGCACGCGTTCCGCACAGTGGACGGCGGCCTTTACCCTCGACGCCACGCACACTGATCTCCGTCCTACAGGTCTGAAGGCGCAGTACAATGAGAAGGACGGCGGCAGCCACGGCTCACTGCGCATCTCCTCGGAGCTCTACAAGGCCGGCTGCGTGTCCAGCGAGGAGCAGGGCTTGGAGGCGGCGCGACGCATCGGCTTCCCGGTGATGATCAAAGCATCCGAGGGCGGCGGCGGCAAGGGCATCCGTAAGGTGGAGTCCGAGGACCAGTTCTTCAACCAGTACAGACAGGTGCGTGAGACGCCGGAAGCCAGCTTTGGCTTGTTCCTCGCATTATGCTGTTACATGTTTGGGAAGTGACGTGATACGGTTAACCCGGCAGGCGGTGGGCCTACCAGCCACCTTCCGCGCGGTGGGGGAGGGGGGGGGGGGCATTTTTTTGCCCCCCCCCGTATCTCCGAAACTGCTGGACGGATCCGGAAAATTCAAACGGCGTTCGATAGCCCTGTCAAATTTGTCGGAGGAAACCAAATTTCATTGACCTCGGGGTAACCGATGACGTCACAGGTCAGGTCAAAGATAAAACGTTTCACCGTTCACGGGCCTTCTAGGGAAAGCGCTATAACACCGAGTAAAACGCATTTTGTCGAAAATCAGCGATAAGGCGTCAGTTGTCTAGTACATATGTTGCTATTAGAGGTCACTGGTCATACCAGGTCAGGTCACAGGTCAGGTCACCAAAGGTCACCAAGGGTCACCACATGAAACCAACTTTACTAAGGTTGTGCGATGCATGTTTTATGGCCAGTTTTTCATTTCCATTTCAATGGTGTTGGTTATAAGACCATAAGGTACGGTTTAGGTCACTTTCTGGTGGAGGTCAGGTCAAGGTCAGGTCAAAAAAGGTCAAATTTCAAAGTTGATATTTTTGCATAAAATGGGTATCGATTCGATGCAGCTCGTCACGGGGAGTCTAATGGTGGTCTTTGTTTTGCTCTACGAGGTCTAGAATTGCCAAAAATTGTGTTTGAAAATTTGACGCCATCAACTTTGAACAGTTTTTTCGCTATAACTTGGCCAAAAAAAGAGGTATCGATCTCAAATTTGGTAAGTAGATAAAAGGCGGTAGGGACTATCACATATATTCCGTTTTTTTCGAAATTAAAAAAAAAACTTTTTGGATTTTTTGGCTATTATATTCAAAAAGTCTATTTTTGATTTTTGGGGGTCAAAATAAAAAAAACTCGAAAAACCGAAATAGCAGTTTTGTAGCACTTTTGATTCCACACCTTTTATGTCTGAAAATTTTTTATGTATCTCTAAAGCTGTAGGCCTGACAGCTCTTCCCGCGAAACCTTTTTTTTTGGGTCGAAAATGGCAAAAATGACGTCACTCTGACGTCATTAGCGGCCAACCTATCATAGCCTTCGGAAAAAATTTGGTCACCATGTGCGCTAGCTGCTCCCGGGAGGGTACTGAAAGTTTGGTGACGATCGGCGCAGCGGTTCTCGAGATATATATTGAAAAAACTAAAGGGGGGGGGGCAAAAAAATGCCCCCCCCCCACCGCCTGGAAGGTTAATGTATTTGTGCGATTTGTCCATGAGCAGAGTATCTCTTTGATCTGTAGTCGCGACTTAAGATGCAGCCATGTGGTGCTTCAGCCTTTGATCCCTACTACGCATCCTGACCATTACATACCCACTGACCTCCCTGCTCAGGTGCGTGCCGAGGTGCCCGGCTCGCCCATCTTCGTGATGAAGATGGCCACCCAGGCGCGCCACCTGGAGGTTCAGCTGCTGGCCGACCAGTACGGTACGGCCATCTCCCTGTTCGGCCGCGACTGCTCCATCCAGCGGCGGCACCAAAAGATCATCGAGGAGGCGCCGTGCGTCATCGCCAGCCCAGAGGTGTTCGAACAGATGGAGAAGGTGCGTGATCGGGGGACAGAAAAGGTATGGTGCTGGGGCGGTAGAAAGAAGGAGTCGGTTCGCTTAGATCAGCAGTTTAGATGGGGTGGTTGTTTCCTTGTTCTACAGCGCACATTTTAATTAACTACATTGATATAGTATGACATACATTCACTCATTCATTTATTCATTCATTCATTTATTCAACAATTCATATTCATTCAGTCATGCATTCATTTATCCATTTTCATTCATTTTCATTCATTTTCAGTCATTACAACACATGCTTCATAAGTGTGATGAATTATGTGCTACTAAAATCCGGCCGTTAATTCTGTCCATTATCACAATATTTTGTCAGCCAGTTTTCCCGCTCCTCACTCGCTTCTCTCTCCCCTCCTTCACAGGCGGCCGTCCGTCTGGCCAAGATGGTGGGCTACGTGAGCGCCGGCACCGTGGAGTACCTGTATGACGAGCACGGCGACTTTTACTTCCTGGAGCTGAACCCGCGCCTACAGGTGGAGCACCCGTGTACCGAGATGATCAGTGACGTCAACCTGCCAGCCGCCCAGCTGCAGGTGCGGGGACACAGAGAGGGTGAAGGGATAGGGAAATGCCGAATGGGGGTGTGTAGATGGCCATGCACTGTGAGGGCATTGCGAGGAGGGCGGTCTGCGTTTCGATAACTTGTTGGGATGAGTAGCGAGTGTCGTGCTATCTGATCTTTACTGCTAATTTGCTGACTTTTCAATAGAGTTCCGTGTGTAATCGTATCGTTCCCAGGTTCAAGCTCTATTTTTTGCAACTTTTTAACAAAAATTGCTAAAAAGCAAAAAAAAAAAAATTGTGCTTTTGCTCGTTCATGCTCTGTACCTGTCAGTTTCATTTTTTCGCGCTACTATTGACTTTCGGGCCCAATGTGCCGGGCCGGCTCCACGCTCTCAAGTCTTACACCATATCATGTCTCCCCTTGTTACTACAGATCGCCATGGGCATCCCGATGCGGCGTATCAAGTGCATCCGTCTGCTGTGGGGCGAATCTCCCTGGGGCGACTCGGCCATCGACTTTAACGACACGTCCAAACGGAAACGGCCCGTCGGACACGTGATCGCCGCTCGCATCACCAGCGAGAACCCGGACGAAGGTGAGAACGGGTCACGTGACATACGCCCGGTGACGGATAGTGCGGACTAGACGACTCGCGAAGGTGCAATTGCAAAAATGACAGGATGTTTGTTGTATTGTTCCAGGAAGTATAGCCCGCTATTACAATGTTCAGAACGGTTGGCTGGTGATCGTTCTCCGTTATAGTCTGCTGTTGTTTGAATACTTTGTGGTGGCAGTGACATTGTTCAAGCGATGTCGCTCGGCGCTGTATACCGTTGGCTACACTGCCAGCTACCGGTCTGGTGTGATCACTGCTCTGGTCATAATGGCGGCCAGCGATCAATCATGGCCAATATATTGAGCCAATGTCGCCGTCCGGGGCGTTATTGAGCTCCGCTCGCAGTCAGATATTGCGCAGTGGTCAGCCCGACTCGGCACGGCCATTCTGCGCGACGGGGCTATGGATTTTACATGACTTGCGCAATAGCCGGTCTGTTCGTAGCGCTTTGGGAAGCCATGCGTCGTACATCATCTGGTCCACGTTGCTGGTTACGTTTGGTGATATTTCTCGTGAGCTATTTCGCTTTATATTTCTTTCCATTTTTATTTCAAAATGTCAGCGCTTGCGTCAGTAGTTCGTTTTCGACGTAAGTCTAGATACCTTCAATTTGAAGCTCGCGCTGCTCGCCACGAATGCTGCCAAATTCTCCCTCAAATACCCCAGACCCCACGTCCGCATGTCGTATTGTGCGTCACACACCGTGAGCTGAGTTGACGCCGCCCGGGTTGTCTTTGCCCCCCAGGGTTCAAGCCGAGCTCTGGCACGGTGGAGGAACTGACGCCTCGTGTTCCCGTCGCCCACAGGGTTCAAGCCGAGCTCTGGCACGGTGGAGGAGCTGACGCCTCGTGTTCCCGTCGCCCACAGGGTTCAAGCCGAGCTCTGGCACGGTGGAGTAACTGACGCCTCGTGTTCCCGTCGCCCACAGGTTTCAAGCCGAGCTCTGGCACGGTGGAGGAGCTGACGTTCCGGAGCAGCACCAATGTCTGGGGCTACTTCAGCGTGGCCGCCTCCGGAGGACTGCACGAGTTCGCCGACTCTCAGTTCGGACACTGCTTCTCGCGCGGCGACAACCGAGAGGAGGCCAGAGAGTGAGTGGGGCGACAACCGAGAGGAGGCCAGAGAGTGAGTGGGGAGAGGGGAGCACTCCGGGAGAGAGAGGGGAGGGAGGATTCTGCGTGCTACGGTTTGTAGTGGGGCTTAGTAGCTTCTCCGTTGTACATTTTGCTGCGTGTATTTGGACACTGCTGTGAAGGTGATCCATTGCATAAAATCGCCTGTGGAATAAAATCCTGAAGCCATGCTCATTGCTCAGTTATTATGAGCTATGCCAAAGTGGAAGTAAATCTGATGTGGTGAAACCTGTCCGTAATATCATTGGCAGCTAGCAATCGTACATGTATTTAATTCCTGCCTCTGAGAATGACGTGTTTCCGTTGACGCACAGGAACCTGGTGATAGCTCTGAAGGAGCTGACGATCAGGGCAGAGTTTCGCAGTACCGTGGAGATTCTCATCACGCTGCTGCACACTGACACATTCCAGGTGAGAAATAGATCACACAGGCATCTGCCCGCTGTTTCCGTGTCGCTGTGTCTTCAAACGCAATCAGCCATCACTGTTCCGACCTCCTTCCAGTAAGAACACCACCTGATCAGTATGAACCGTTGTGGCCTACTCTAGCACCCAGGCACCGCTTATTTGTTTATTTGTTTATTTATTGGCATAGCGTCCACAGGCAAAGCCCCACTTACGGATGCAGTCGCACACTGACAATAACAACCTCTGACACACACTGGATGGAAATAAATATGAGTGATAACACTGATCAAAATCCAAATAAATTAACAAGATGGCAAGAGCCTAAAAGTAAACCGACAGGCAACAGCCTAAGAATACAGCAGACATGAGCAAAAGCCTAAGAGAATATACAAGTATAGGCACCTGGCTAATGAGCGAGGCTAAAAGACGTATACTGACATGAGAAATCCCCTAAAAGTAAAAAGCAGAGGCAATAGCCTGAAATCCTAAAAGAGTGTAGGTATAAGCAAGAATGACAGTGGATGAAATAAAAAGACAAAAAAGACGAAAAATGAGCGTAGACAATGACAATGAGAATAAAACCGGTAACGGCTAGTTGCTACATGAGGAGCTATATCAGTGACCTTAGGCTAAGTATGTTCCCTGGTCGTCAGCAAAGTTGGCTATCTCCGACCTTAGCCTGCAGCTAGGCATAAAGAAATCGGCCTCGGGGCTGCTGTGGACAAGCCAGTTCACGTGCTGGGGAAGACGAATCAGAAATCCTCGCTTCACAGTGTCCACTCTTCCGCGCGGCACATGAAAGAGCTCGGGACGGCGCGTGCGACGGCCGGGTGCCGATAGAGAAAACATGGCCAAGATGTCGGGACAGTCCAAGCGACCACTGAACACGGAGCGCATGTAGTTGATGTCACACTGTGTGAATCGTGACCTCACTGATTCGCAGCCGAACAGTTTAAGCAGCGATGCATAGTCGAGTGAAGGACACCTCGCCTGTGTCCTGGCGCCCAGCCACATGAGAAAACGGTGCTGTAGTCGCTCTAATCGGCGCAGGTGGGTGACAGCGGCACCCGACCGCTCTTACCTCTTCCCTTGATGCCACTAATTATGACTGATCTAGCGTCCCTCCCTCGTGCTGGATGAGCAACATGATCAGCACGGCATGGCTGGATCGTCTGATTGCCGACCGAATGATGTCTCAACTATTCACCTCCTTCCCCTCCCCTCCCCTTTAACAGAACAACACGATCAGCACGGCGTGGCTGGACCGTCTGATCGCCGACCGGATGCAGGCCGAGAAGCCCGACGTCATGGTGGGCGTCATATGCGGCTCGCTGCACATCGCCGACCAGACCATCGCCAGCGCCAACCAAAAGTTCCAGAACTCTCTCGAGAAGTACGTAAACTAATAAGATGCGGTGTGTGTTCACTTTATTGTGTCCGATCAGCATTATCAACTGTGGATGATGCCGACATGTAGCAGCCATCACAGTTTCACCAATATCGTGTCTTATCGATGATCATGGGAATTGAAAGCAAGCTAATAGCAGTTCACTCCCTCCTTCTTTTTTATCCTAGGTCATATTTCCAAGTGTTTGATGCTAGATGATTTTTTTTTCAACCCTCAGAAGGCACCGACTCCTGTTAAATGCTGTTGCCATCCCGCAGGGGTCAAATTCTGCCGATGTCGTGTCTGATCAACTCTGTCGAGGTGGAGCTGATCCTGGACGGTATCAAGTACGTGGTGAGCGCCTCACGGACAGGGCCCAACCAGTACTTCCTCGCCCTCAACAACTCCTACAAGGAGATCGAGGTGCACCGGATGCGCGACAGCTCCATGCTGCTCTCCGTCGACGGCATGAGCTTCAACACCTACATGAAGGAGGAGGTTGACAGGTGAGATTATCAGCTGCACGACGTAATATTCGAGTCGTAACAGGCTTTAGCCATACTCATTTGTCGACTTTTTACGATATTTATATGGGTTAATGGGGAAAAATTATGAAATTTATTTTTGAAATGATTTAAAGAAAGGTGTGATTTGCTGCACTTTGGAAGAGAATATTCCAAATTGCAGATCAGTTGAGCGTGATGAAGCGAGGCCTGAGACAAGCTACCGTTACCCGGCTGTCAACTCAGTACAGTAACCGTTGATAACCTCCCGCTCTTTCGCCTTCAGTTACCGGGTGGTGATTGGAAACCAGACGGTGGTGTTTGAGAAGGAGAACGACCCGACCATCCTGCGCGCCCCCTCCGCCGGCAAACTGATGAACTACCTGGTGGAGGACGGCGGCCACGTAGTTGCCGGACAGCCCTACTGCGAAATAGAGGTAAGATCACGTGGTCGCCGGACAGCCCTACTGCGAGATAGAGGTGGGAACGGTTGGAATTGGGTATTGATCACGTGGTCGCCGGCCAGCCCTACTGTGAAATAGGGGTAGGAACGGTTATCCTTAGGCGTTAGATCACATGGTGGACAAACAGTTCGCTACTGCTCGAGATCGATCCTGATGAAACGGTCACTGTTGGTTTATACTTCACGGGAATATCATCGGATAGTCATGTTTCGGGTTGGAGGTGGATCATTCGGGCGGAAATGCCGGCTGTAAAGACGAAAGACTGGAATGATTCGGAAAATGATAGTAGAGAATGATTGCATCAGAAGCCGTCTGGTGTCAGTGATGACCCGTTCGCCGGAATCCAGTGATATCCCTGTGCGCGTCTGGTGGCCATTATCTCCATGTCCCCACGCGTTCTCTGCTCTGACACTGATCCGTCTGCTCACCTCAACAGGTGATGAAGATGGTGATGACGCTCCACTCGTCCGTGTCCGGCTCAGTGACCTACAACAAACGGCCCGGCGCAGTGCTCAACGCCGGAAACATCATCGCCAGGCTCGAGGTACGGGCAGAGCTCTGCCAGACTGCAGACCACAGCTCACTTAGCAGTTCACAGACCACAGCTCACAACGTATAGCCAATCTCGCTGCTCTGATGGTTCGTGACTCATCTCATGCCACGCAGCTCGCAGCTCGTGTCTGGGTGGACACAAATTACAGCCTAGGGCAGCTTATCTCATGCTGGTAGATCTAGTCGAGTTGTAGCCAGAGACTGGCCGCGATTTTCAAGAATTATTAGGGCAGAAGAATGCGTTAAACGCCCGGCTTGGAAAATGAATTAAGGGCATGCTAAAAATAATATTTGTATACTTATTGATGAATTTTGGCTGTTTAACTGAAGGAGAGGGCTATATCGGATGTTTTGATCATTGTCTTCTAATTGTGTGCTCCACGTCTAACTGTGATTTCATCGTCAGGTGGACGACCCTAGCCGCGTGACCCGGGCTCGCCGATTCACTGGCACCTTCCCGGAGGTGAAGCACGACCTGAAGGTGATTGGGGACCAACTGCACCAGCGCTTCCAGTGCGACAAACAGCGGCTCGAGAACATCCTCAGCGGTGAGACACGGGGAACGAGTCAGGGACGGGAGGAGAGGAAAGAGATCAGCTACGGAGGACTCTGAGGAGACGTGAGAGAGTGGAGGGAGAGGCAGGCGAGAGGCATGCTAGAGGCTAGAGAAAGTATCCTGTTCGCAAAGCACCCGCGGGTAGCTAGCTGCCTTTACGAGTATCAGCTGGCTACGTGCATTTAGCTGCGTGTTTCACTCCTTGCTGTGTGTTTCACACCCTCTAGCTGAAATGTCCCGGTGTACTGAGTGTAACTGTCCCTTTGTCAGGCTACTGTCTGCCGGAGCCGGTGTTCCTGAGCCGGGTGAAGGAGACGGTGGAGAGCATGATGGCCGCGCTCCGGGACCCGTCACTGCCGCTCCTCGAGCTGCAGGTCAGTGAAGACGCGATATGCATCACTACCTGGCTTTGGACAGCAAACCAGCAGCTGAGCTGTGGCTGGCCTTGGAATGGCATCGTATCGTGACAGTTATCACTTTTGCTTCTGATCACTTAATATGCTGATCGTACTCGTAGTTTTCCGTGACATTACTGTCAGCAATATTACATCAGTTTCAACTGAATGCTGCCTCATCTTTGATCAGGGTGATCAATGTGGAAGAGTGCTGTGGCTGCAGGGCTGTGGAGCTGCTATGACTGACCAAAGCTTTCGTCTGTCGTATAATTATAACCGTCTACCCTCCCGATCGACAGGACATCATCTCGTCCATCTCGGGCCGTGTGCCGCCCATCGTGGAGAAGCGAATCCGGCAGCTGCTGAACCAGTACTCGTACAACATCACCTCGGTGCTCACCCAGTTCCCCAGCCAGAAGATCGCCAACGTCATCGATAGGTGCGGATCCGTGGCTGATTTCTGGGCTGGAGGGGACGGGATGGACTGTCTTTTGGCCTGGTGGAGGGGCGGGCTTGGTTGTTCTCTGGTCTGGAAAGAGACGAAACGTGACTGTATCCCAGCCTAAGCAGTGGAAGGACAAGAAAGGAACTGTCTCGCGGGCTGGGAAGAGACCTTTGGGCAGGCCTGCGCGGAGAGTCTCTTTCCTAGCCTGACTAATGGTGGGAGGGATTTGAGGCCTGTCTTCCGAGATGGAGCACGGATTGAAGTCAATGTTGATACCTACCTCATTACTTGAACAGGGTCTGAAGTGCCTTCACCTTAATTGCTATCTCAGCTCCCTCCTTCCCTCTGCCCCTGCCTCATCTCACCCTAACCCACCCACCTCTCTCCCCTTACTATTTTAGTCACGCGGCGACGCTGCAGCGCCGCCAGGACCGCGAGGACTTCTTCCTCACCACCCAGGGCGTGGTGCAGCTGGTGCAGCGCTACCGGAGCGGCATCCGCGGCCGACTCAAGGCGGTCGTCCAGGACCTGCTGCGGCTCTACCTGCAGGTAACGCAGGCGGCCGGCGGACCGCTACGGAAGTGTACGGCGGCGGTTGGGTTTTGGCAGTCGAGCGCTGGTGGATCTCTTTTTGGCGATTGGTGTTTGTTGAAACTATCTTATTACAAGAAGGAAGGAACTCAGATTCAACGTCGGGCTAGCTCAAATTTGTGTCGACTAGGTCCTCGTACGTTTTGCATCCGCTTATGAAATCGCGCTCAATGGCTCCTTTGACCTGTGAACGCTGACCGTCATGTCGCGTCCCCAGGTGGAGAGTCAGTTCCAGGTGGGCTCGTACGACAAGTGCGTCCACCTGCTGGCAGAGAAGCACAAGGACGACATGGCCGTGGTGGTGCAGACCATCTTCTCACACTCCATGGTACGGGCTCGGGAAATAGTTACCGTTCTGCGTAATTCAATAGCAGTTTAATGTGGATTGTGAGCCTTGAGTCTGCCATTTTAACCAGCTGACGTTATTATGCAAATTGTTAGTTATAATGACTCATCTGTGCTGATTTTGCTGTGGTTTTTATTCATTTTGTTTGGTGCTTAGTTTTCCTTATTGCTGTTTGCGACTCCTGCCATCGTTTTCATTTAACGATGCGGCGCCTTGTGCCAAAGTCCGCCCTTGCGCCCGTAGTCTCGACCTATTCTCTGCTATGCTAACCATTCGCCCGCTCCCGCTGTGCCACAGGTGGTGCAGAAGAACCAGCTGGTGACGCTGCTGCTCGACTACCTGGTGAAGGCCGACCCGCAGATGCCCGACGAACTCTCCGGCATCATGGAGGAGCTCACCACGCTCAGCCGCACCGAGAATGCCAAGGTGTCGCTGCGCGCCAGACAGGTACGAGGGCCGAGCGAGAACGCTTAGGTGTTACTGCGCGCCAGACAGGTACGGTCGGATCGAGCGAGAACGCTTAGGTGTTACTGCGCGCCAGACAGGTAAATACGAGGGCTGAACCGCACCAAAAACGCCAAGGTGTCACTGCGCGCCAGACAGGTACGGTCGGATCGAGTCAACAGGCGAACCGAGAAATAAACCGGTAGGTGATCTGATCTGCTGAGGTGGTTCCGAACAAGCTGGTTTTTGTGGCAGGACTTTTCAAAAGCGGACGAGTTTGCGTTTGTTTGAAACTCTGAGCGATACTGCTGGCCTGATTTGAAATTTAGATGAGACGTTGAGACACCGGCAATTGAAATGGGACGTGGCGTAGGAAGACGGCTGTCTGGACAAGTCTGACATGGCTAATGGTATTCTCTGCTCTAGTATCTTGCTTTGTTCGCTTCATTTAAATTATCACCCGGCTGACGTTTTGCTCCCCCGTCTGCCCGTCCGCCAGATGCTGATCACGGCCCAGCAGCCGGCCTATGAGCTGCGGCACAACCAGATGGAGTCCATCTTCCTCTCGGCCGTCGACTCGTTCGGCCGCGGATACCAGCCGGAGAATCTGCAGAACCTGATCCTCTCCGAGACGAGCATCTTCGACATCCTGCACGACTTCTTCTACCACCACAAGACCGCAGTGCGAGTGTCGTCACTCGAGGTGAGAGTTGTGAAACTGCTGCAGGGCAGCGTGCGCATGTTATGGGAAATCACTAAAGCGCTTGAGTAACTCTTTGGTAAGTGTTTTTCTTTATCGAGTTGCTAATATTGACAAGATTTTAGACAAACTTTTGTAGCAACTCACTATGTTTCAAAGGATATCCTTGCTCTGGCTTTGATGAGACATTTATTTTGATGCGCTCTTTCTTGTGCTAACCTTGTTGACCATTTCTGCAGGTGTACGTGCGGCGCGCCTACATCTCCTACGATCTGGCGTGCGTGAAACATTTCGAGCTGCCGACGTCTGCCGGTTTCTCCATCTGCGTGGTGCTGTTCAGCTTCTTCCTGCCAACGTCTCACCCCAACAGGTAGGGCGGCGTCGGCCGGCCCGCCGTCCGCCGGCGCAGCACTCAGTGTCGTCTGTGAGCCGCGTTCGTGTCACGTGCCGTGCCGTGCCGTGCCGTGCCGTGCCGTGTCCGCACCACCCCGTCCGTGACGCCTGGGTGACCGGTGGAGGGGTGGGTGGGTGCCCCGTGGTAACCAGCCGGCCGGCGCTGTCGCTCTGTTGCAGCGCCGACCGTAACCTGAAGCGGCTGAGCGTGTCTCGCGCGGCGCCGTCGGCGTCTCACAGCGCCACCGGCCTGCTGTCGGTGGGTGGCGCCGGCCGGCCTCGCTCGCCGTCGCCCCACTCGCCGGCGACGCTGCAGCGGCCCGTACCGTCGGCCGGCCACGGCGCCCTCTCTAGTAGCAGCTCGCCGGCGCTCAGGTAACGCTGCGCCGCCGGCTGACGCGCCGCCGCTGCTGCCGCCGCTGCTGCCCGCGTGGTCCGCTCCGGCGGCCCCTCCCCATGGTGCTGGCTCTCGCGCCGGGCTGTCACCAGGCTGCTACCATGTGCGGCTGCTCCGCTGCTTCTGCGCCAGCCGCCGCCGCTGCCTGTCGCACAATGCTGCCTCTTTCACTGCACTGTCTTTGGTTTTCTCTGCATCGGGCATGGAGTCGCTATCTTTTCGACATTCTCTTTCAGTGTGCGCGGTTGGTTTTCACTGGTTGTTTGTCTACCTGCACTGCACTCTTGTGTTGCCTCTTATCTTGGAATTGTGACGGCCTGTCCTATGTTCTCTGTTTCGCACTTCTATTATTTTCGTTTTTCCTTGATTTCAGAGCTTTTTATTTCTCTATCATGTGTATGTGTTTGCTTGATGCGTTTGGTGATGGGCACGCACATGCGTTTGTGGCTGATTCACGCTTACGTCGGGCTGTGCGCGCATGTCTGTTCTGTCTGTATCTGCCGCTTGCGATCAGGTGCCGGTTTGTCCCATCTGGGGCGACTGGCCTGTGGCTCCGTTCTGATGGTGAAGGAAATCGGTTCTTTTTGAAAATCAATGCGGACCTTCCGCCTCGGGCCCTGGTCTGGTATTGCGCCTTGGCTGCGCTGTTGCTCGCTGGGTACGCGCTGGTTGCCAGCTTGGAGCCTGTGCTGCGGCTCTGTTCGTTAGCTGAAGAAAAGCGGCTAGTCGGGCAGCCGGGTCGGAGCGCGTTTGTGCACTCAGCAGTCCTCGACTCTTCGGTTGTGCCGGGTCGGCCGAACTGACTCTCGGCCCGGTCTCTCCGGTCGAGAGTCAGTTCCTTTCACTTTGCCTTTCCGACGCCGGCAGTGCGTTCCAGCGGGTCTATACTTTTCACTGATCTTTGGGCGGCAAGAGCTGTGTCGGTGACGAGCTCTCCTGGCCATAGAGGCCTTCCAGTTGAGTCTGGCTCATTGGTCATGTTCACGGTCAGAACGACCGCGTTTGAGGTACGCTCAGAGCCTTTTGGGTACACTTCAGGAGTGCCGGGTCCGCACTTGACTGTACTCTCGTCCTTCCTCAATACACAAGAGGGCCTTGATGAAAGAGCTGGCAGGTCAATGTGATGACCATTTGGTGCGGATATCCCTGCCTTTGTGTTTTTAATGTTCGCACGGTACTATCGGCTTGGTGGAATTTTGTGATCCAGCAAATGTGTATCTGTACCCTGCTGACTTATACTTGTGCTGCACGATTCGCTATCTTACCGTTTTATTTTCTGTTGTGAAGCATTGGTGTTTTTTCGTGCTTTCAGTTTTTTGTTTTGCTTAATTCATGCTGCACATTTTGCTTGCTACATCGCTTCACTTATGCACACTGCACAGTGTTCACATGTGTATGCAACTATGTTTAGTCGTCAGTCGTTTTATCGGTCAAGTTTTGCCGGGCTTTGATTTTTAAGCTTAGTCATATTCAAGTAAAGTCGCGGCCCAACAATTTCAACACAGATTGTCATTCTCACAGATCATAGGACTCTGTAAACCTCTCTGGCGTACAGCGGCTTTAATGCACAGATCTAGAACGTTAGTATTATTTTCATAATGTAACTTTTGATTCAAAGAAATACACAGATGAAAGTGAAGACCGTATTTTTTTTTCATGGACACTTTTTCGAACTTTTTTATCCTTTTATTCCATTTTCCCCGCTCCTGACTTCATTCCGAACCTTTTCAGTCTTCAGGAGCACCCCATCCCATTATTGTGTTATGAATTCCCTCGCTCACTCATCTACTTTTCCAAAGACCAACTGGTCCCTCTCTCCCCACCGACCCTGTCCATCCTCCCCACATCCCGTCAACGTTTCCTCCGACCCTAGACTCCTCAAGAAATGACCGACGGCCCGTTCTCTTCTACCCTCAGACTGCCCATTGAGCCGCTCGTCTTCCCTTGGACTGTTAACTAACCCTCCCATTCCGTCTGTGGGGCCGGCAGGCTGAGCGGCAAGCTGGACCAGCCGGGCCACCCGCTGCTGCCGGAGCGCGAGTCGTGTGACCGCGTCGGATGCATGGTGGCGTTCCGAAACTTCGAGCAGTTTGAGGCAGGCTTCGAGGACCTCGTGGAATTGGCTCAGGTACGGCGGGAGAATGGCGGGTGTTCAGAGCGGCAACCATGCAGGTAGGGAGACTGGGATGATGGGCGGCTTCTGCTAGGTTGTGGTGCTTGCCATGTTGTCTTATGAGTAAATTTTGACTACAGAGCGTTTATGTGTTACCGTGTTGCTCTCAGCACAGGTTTACCCTAATGTGATGTTTATTTTCGTGTAAAACCGCTATTTAGAGCGTTTAAAGATTATGATTAGTTATGTTTAAGATGCTGTTAAGAAAGGAAAAGATACAATACGGCCTAAGACTGTAAGTTGCTTATCTAGCCGGTACTTACGAACTACGCTTAAAAGCCAGAAAGCGCGAAATTTTCCAACTTTGTAGTCGTGTTCTCTCGGTGCGTGCTCGCGGGCAGTCGGGTTGTAATAATGCGCTCGCTGGGCGTGGCTGTCTCTGCGCCAACTGGCCCTGACCTGGTATGTGTGTCTGTCTGTGTGTGCGTGGGTGCGTGTGTGCGTGCGTGCGTTTCGCTCGCGACCGGACCGGGAGCAGCACACTCAGCTGGGGCCTCAGCCGACCCGCTGGCCTGACGTCAAGGTTGGAGCTCGGTAGCGCTCGTTGGCTTTCCGCGGCTAGTCCTGTGTGTCACCGTGTGTGCGTGTAGTGTGCCGCCCGCGGGGGTACCGCCAGATGTCTACTGTCGGCTTCGTGTGCTCTCTGCACCTTCTGCACACTGTCTGTCTGTCTGTACGCCTGTCGTGCCGGGCCTCTGTGTCACGGATGAACGAATCTCGCCGCTCGCCGCTGGGGTCCTTTGCAGGACTACTGCTGCAAATCTATAGATTACTTATCACTGAGACTCCAGGATAAGCTCTCCAAATCTTCTGGAGCGTCTATAAAGCTTCTATAGCTATTTAGCCAGCTAGCTGATGCCAATCTGTCGGCTTTCTGCACACGGCTATGTAGGTCCACTGCTCACGAATCACGATTACTTGATGATGGGTCCGTCGGCTGTGTCTCACGGCTAGATAGTAGACATGGGTCCTGGCTTACGGCCACCGCCGAATATGAGTTACGGCGCAGCTGTTGGCTACACGCTTCTGCTTAAAGTAGACCGGCCTTTCTTCGCTAGGATTGCGCGGCTGTAGCGTGCATCATTGCCACTGCCACGAACACATTGCTAGAGTTCTTACTTCTCTTTGTAAGTTGTGTAAATCACAAAAATTCGCTCCGAGATGTAAGCTGTAGAGCTTTGATAGAGCTTTCGAGCCTCCTTCACCTGCGTCTTATCACATGATTCTTTTGTTTCTGAGTGTCACATTGTGAACTCAATAGCATGACACCGGACTTTGGAAATTTGGTGTGTTTATTACAACACTATGGTAACTCCCAGATCGACAGTTTTTTTTTTGTTTCGTTTCGTTGACTGTTGTTTTGCCTAACAGACTTTGTCTAACACAAATGTTCATCGCGCACGTCATCACTCACCGTCACCGTCAGGGCTTACATTATCTGCTGTGACCAAGCGGAGCCCCTCTTTCGATTGCTAGCATTCCAGATTCATTTATCACACAGAAGCGTATTTTCCCGTGAGTCTAGCGTCGCTTCATACCTTTGGCCATAACGCTCCCTTGTTCCGCCTTACCCAAGCCTCCTCGCCAGTAGCATCCCATCCCTACATGATACCCGATCCCTGGCGGTCGTCTTCCTTGATCTAGTCCCAAGAAGTACCGCCCTTCCCATGGCCCGGCCCATCAAAGCATTACCCGATCCCAGACGCCCATCTTCTCGACAAAGTCACCCACCAATACCGCCGTTTTTGCTTTGGTACTCATACCCGAGCCCTGACAACCGTCTCCCTAACGAATTCACCCATCAATAGGCACGGCGCTTACTGTGCATGTCCAGTACCCGCGCCCTGACGACCGTCTCCCGGCAGGAGGAGCTGATCCCCGCGTGGCGGGACCGCGGCCAGAGCCGGGACCTTGACTCGGACACTCTGGGCATGTCCATGACGCTCGGCAGCTCCCTCACAGAGATGGCTGAGGTCGGAGAGGTGAGAAAGAGGCAGGAGGAGCAGGGAGTGAGGGAGCGACTGTGGGCCAGGCCAGGTTGTATGGTAATTTTTACCGATTCTTTTGAAGAGATTGCAAGGCTCCCAAAATGTGAAACATTTTAGATACCATTGCTACTTCGTTAAATGTGGTTGCACGGTGGTGGATACTGGATATAGGGTTTTATGTCTTCTTTTCTGTAGACCCCAGGGGAGCGTTGATACTATGTATTTTCACTTTGTTCTGTGTAGCTGAGGACATTTATAAATATTCTCTCCGCACGTCTTGTTATCAACCCCATCCTCCCTGTGATCTCCCTGTGACCTGATCGCTCTGTGACCTCCATGTGACCGCCCGCCCTCCCGCCCGCAGCCGGAGGACGACCCGAAGCTGATCCTCAACATCGCCATCCGGGTGACGGAGGAAGTGGACGACGAGGCCATGAACGCCCAGCTGTCGGCGTTCTGCGCACAGCGCCGCACCTTCCTCGTACAGGTGAGAGGTTACACTGGCAGCGGTATAACTAGGGGAATGCTATACTGTGGGCCATCTAGCAGTGTCGGCGTTCTGTGCACAGCGCCACGCCTTCCTCGTACAGGTTAGCGCACTGGTGATTCGACTTGATGACGGGATGGTTGGTGGTTACACTGTAGTCCATGGACATGAGTGATGAGCACGAATGTAATCAAAGTTTTGTCGTTACCCAACGCTTAGTCTAACCAGCAGGCGTTATTCATTAAAACCGTGGTTGAGTTTCATCCAGCCCTCCGTAATGCCATGCGCCGCTGCCTCAGGGGTTCGGCATGAACCTCTATTAGTATACCAGGTATACAGAGGCCTATGGCGGCGCGTTTTGTTAGAGAGCTAACTCCGCTTTACCAAACCCTCCCGCTGACGCTCGGCGGTTCTCCCACAGAGCCTGGTGCGCCGTGTGACATTCGTGGTTTTGTTCGACCACGAGTTCCCGCGCTACTTCACCTACCGGTCGCGGGATCAGTTCGCCGAGGACCGCATCTACCGGCACCTGGAGCCGGCGCTGGCCTTCCAGCTGGAGATGAACCGACTGCGCACGTACGACTTAGAGGCGCTGCCCACCTCCAACCACAAGATGCACCTCTACCTCGGCAAGGCCAAGGTACGCGCCGCTCGGACTGTTCAGTCCCGTTCGGGAGAGATATTGCTGGAGGAATATGATGTGATTCTGTGCTGGAATTTCCTTTTCCTTTATCCTAGAGACTGAAGACACTTAAACAAGGCCAGTGTTTTCCTAAGAAACATAACTTACGTCCATGTAGAACTAAGCTGCTTTTTGCCGCTTTTTGTGTTAAACGCATGTTTCTGACTGAGTTTTTGCTATGACGTGTCTAGACCTCAATTTGTGTCTAGTCGTGTATCTGATGGCACCGTTCGTCTCTACTCCAGCCTCTGACCCCTCCGCCCTTCTCTGACCGCAGGTGGCGGCCGGCCAGGAGGTGACTGACTTCCGTTTCTTCATCCGCTCCATCATCCGCCACTCTGACCTCATCACCAAGGAGGCCAGCTTCGAGTTCCTGCAGAACGAGGGCGAGCGGCTGCTGCTGGAGTCGATGGACGAACTCGAGGTGGCCTTCTCACACCCGCTGGCCAGGCGCACCGACTGCAACCACATCTTCATGAACTTCGTGCCCACCGTCACTCTGGACCCGGCCAAGGTGCGGCGCGCGGGGATGTTTCAGTCAGCGGGATGACAAGGGGAATTGGAAAGACAGGACGGTGGCACCTGAAACAGATCCGTCATGCATGGTACGGCGATAAAAACATGAAGAATGGAGGGTGACTTTTGCAATGAGCATGGTGCGCTGTGATATACGATATGTGCTTACGATGGTGATATTACTTGGTGATGCTTTCGTCATCCTCGCGTGCATATTGCATCAGATAGTATGATGACCTAGCCCTATCTGACCCATATGACCTCCCCCCAGGTGGTGGAGTCTGTGCGCCCGATGGTGATGCGCTACGGCCCGCGGCTCTGGAAGCTGCGTGTGCTCCAGGCCGAGGTGCGGATGACGATCCGCTCGTCGGCCCACTCTCCGACTACCTCGATACGGCTGTGTCTGAGCAACGAGAACGGGTACTACCTGGACATAGCGCTGTATAAGGAGGTCACCGACCCGTCCACTGGACAGGTGAGAGGGGAGCGTGGTGCTGCGGGGTTGGACAGAATGACTGGGGATTTCACGTGGACTGGTGACCATTGGCTGGAAATTGTCTACCGATTGGACAGATGCTTGAGCGGATGATGGCAGAGGGAGTGTTTTGCGATAAATATCTAGGCTCCCGCTCTGGAGAGCCAGCTGTTGTTGCCTACCTCGCCTATCTTGCTTTTTTGTCATCGTCACCCTTTGCGTCAGCCAACGCACTTGATGAAGTGGATGTAAATAATGTCATGTGGTGTTTTAAAATGCATCTGGAGCTGTTGTATTCGGTCACAAGCAGCGGCGTCATCCACGAAAAGAGACTATCACTCGTCCGCGCAGTCACTACTGTTTCGCCCTGTGTCTAACTCCGCCGCCTGTCCCCTTGTCCGTTCACAGGTGAAGTTCGAGGCGCTAGGTGGCAAGCAGGGTCCGCTGCACGGCCTGGCCGTGGACACGCCCTACCTCACCAAGGACTACCTGCAGCTGAAGAGGTTCCAGGCACAGCACAGCGGCACCACATACGTCTACGACTTCCCTGAAATGTTCAGACAGGTAACCGCGGCTCACTTGCAAGCATTGCTCAGATAGCTAGTCGAAGTTCCCTGAGATGGTCAGACAGGTAGTCACGGCTAACGGATGCGGTCAAGCGTAGTAACTGGTATTGACTGCGCTGTGATTCAATTTTGGTTTTGTGTGTATGCCTTTATTTTACTTGATATTTTTAAGATGCTTAGGAAAATATTAGGAACAATATTTCCTTGTTAGATTTATTTCTTGTGCCCGCTTACGACCTATCGTATGCTTACTTTACTTTGGACAAAATGTCAGGAAACACACAATGCTGAATATTATCGTATCGGAATTTTCCTGCGTCCTATTTCTGACCTCGCCTCTTCCGTCGCCCTCTGCTCAGGCGCTGGAGAAGCTGTGGTCGAACCACGTGCGTCGTAACCCGGACGTGGTGCCGCCCGAGGACCCGCTGCACCATCTGGTCGAGCTCATCATCGACGACGACAACAACCTGATCGAGGTCAAACGGCTGCCCGGCGAGAACAAGGTTAGAATGTGCGAACCGGCGGCCGCGGGCGGTTTACGGTGCCCTGCCGGCCGGCTGGCCGCTGGCTGTAGGTGCCGTAGTTTTATCATCCAGCTTACGTAACTGAGCCACTCATCATTAAACACACTGCCATTCAAGTGCGAATGATTTCAACATTCATCGAAGTGAGAGGATGTAACAGAAAATGGCTGCGACTTGAACTCTTCTGTGGATTGTTGTTTCAGCACCCTTTTGGTTCTGTCAGACATAACAGCTACTGACTAAGCTTCTCAGGTCTTGCACTTGTGTCACGTCCTCTACGCCCCATAGCCTCACTTTCCCGCTCTCCCACGTCAGATCGGTATGGTGGCCTGGAAGATGACGCTGCTGACGCCCGAGTACCCGAGCGGCCGCGAGGTGGTCGTCATCGCCAACGACCTGACGCACGCAATCGGCAGCTTCGGCCCAGAGGAGGACGTACTCTTCCTGAAGGCCTCGCAGGTAGGATTGGACAGACCAGCTGGTTGTCCTCTGTTTGTGTTTGGTTTTGTAACAGGCTAGGGCTGTTGCGGCTGTGGCTAGGTTTCGCTGTTACATCCGTGAGCTGTTGCTTGCAGTCTATTTGGTTTAATGCAGTCGTCATTGAGGTTGTGACCTGATGAATCATTGTCATCATGCCGTTTCATTTGTGCTCGGACGCACGCCAAATATTTTTGAATGCGTATCAAAATATGCGTGTGAAGTAAGTTGTGTTAATGAGGATCGCTATTCTGTAGCTGACGTTTCTGTCCATTTTCCCGTTCTAGCTATCGCGTCAGCAGCGCATTCCCCGTCTGTACCTGTCGGCCAACAGCGGAGCCCGGATCGGCATGGCCGAGGAGATCAAAAACCTCTTCAGGGTCGCCTGGGAGGACCCCAACGACCCGGAAAAGGTCAGGGCGACCGTCGAGCTGCTTGTTTCAAAACATTACGAGTGCTGATCCTTTACGCTCCTGTCACGCTTCTAGCGTCGACCTCTCCCCCCCCCCGTTTCCTCCGTGGGTAACTACTCTGCCTGACGTCGTCGCTCTTTCTCTCCATCAGGGTTTCCGCTACATCTACCTGACGCCGGACGACTTCCAGAAGGTGTCGGCCTCCAACTCTGTGCACGCCGACCTTGTCGAGGACGACGGGGAGTCCCGCTACAAGATCAGCCACATCATCGGTACGGCCTTAGTTCGATGGACACGCGTTTTCAGTTCATTGACGTGGTACCCAATACCCATGGAGCGACGTGATATTCACGCGGCGCATTATTTAGTGCTGCCTCCTTCACATTCTAATACGACCGTTTTCATACTGCTCTAATCTAACCAGTTGGCTAGGTAGAAAATATTCTGGTACTCCTCTGTCTCTTCTACTCGTCAAGCGAGTCCGTTTGTTTAAGTCGATCCATTATACGATTTTTGGTTTCTGCAGGCGAGAGGGACGGCCTGTTTATTACCCTCCATCCCTCTCCCTCTCTCCAGGCGAGGTGGACGGTCTGGGTGTGGAGAACCTGCAGTACGCGGCCATGATCGCCGGCGAGACGTCCCAGGCGTACCACGAGGTGGTCACCATGTCGATGGTTACATGCCGCGCCATCGGCATCGGCGCCTATCTGGTGCGTCTGGGCCAGCGCGTGGTACAGGTGGACACCAGCCACATCATCCTCACCGGATTCGGCGCGCTCAACAAGGTAAGTTTGTCACACGGTGTGTGTTTGGGGAAATCGATGGAAGCGGAATGTGTGTAGGGGAAGCATGGGAAGTGGGAAGGAAGAGTGTTTTACACTCATTACAGCTGGTTTGGGGTAGAACGGAGGATTGAATGGCTGGTCCAATAAACTTATTTGAAAAAAATACATTTGCGTGGGTTTCCCTATTCTGCCTTAAAAAGTGGCCACCGGTCTCGCTTTACGAGCCAGGTAGCCTCCTCCTCGCGAGGCTGACGAAAAATAAGGCCAATAAAAAAGGACCGGCCTTTAAGGCCTTGTTTCATTACATGCGCTTATCGTCCGGTTTAGTTCTTGGAGATTGGAAATACGCATTTTATGTGAAAATATGCCACACATATGTTGTGACTTAAATCCGTCTCAGTTGTGGATTGTATTTTCCTCGCAGCAGCTCCCCGCCGCTGACCGGTCCCCTGGTTTTCCCGTCCCCGTCCCACAGTTGCTGGGCAGCGAGGTATACGCCTCCAACAACCAGCTGGGCGGCGTTCAGATCATGTACAAGAACGGCGTCTCGCACGACGTCTGTGGCCAGGACTTTGACGGCATCTGCACCCTGCTCAAATGGCTCTCCTACGTGCCCAAGGTAAGGATGTGACGAGGCAGGACAGGATGTCGGGTTAGGAGAAGTTGTGATTGTCGGGAAAATTGTAGCAGACGATGAATCAGTGTGTTGAAAAATGTGAATGTGTTATGTGAATCAAAATGTGACGGTAATTTAGGTATTGCGCTCGCGACTATTGTTTATTGTTTTATCATTTATAACGTAAACACACCAGCAAGACTTGTGAGCAGACGTGAGATCCATCTACCATTACCCGTCGTGGCACATGCCTCTACTGACATCCCCTGTGTGTATGCTCCTGCAGCACAAGGGCGCGCCGCTGCCTGTTCTGCCGAGTCCCGACCCGATCGACCGACCAGTGACGTTCCAGCCGACCAAGGCGCCCTACGACCCACGCTACCTGCTCACCGGACGGTCCAACCCAGGTCAGTCGGGGAGTCTAGCGGGTGTGGGAGGGGCACCCTCCAATCCAGGTCAGTCAGGGATTAGAACGGGCATGTGGTGGTAGTGTGTTCCAGCCGAGGTCAGTCAGGGATTCAAATGCTGTGGTGTCGGGAAGGACGTACTCAGAACACCAGCGAAGCAGACGAATGTAATCAGTCGTAGGGACCCCCGGTCTATGCCGGTCAGAAGGTACACTTTGATTAATGATTATAACTTTGTGACAAAACTGAATGAAACCATCCTTATTGCAGTCTTCTAAGTCCCATTAACCACAAGTTAACAGGCACCTGTATCGTCCACCTCAATCTTCAGCCTCAGTTTGCGCTCCGCGGACACTATCAATGCCCTTGAAGCTTATATTTTCCTCAGTTGATTAGTATTTAGTTGTCCCCGTCTTCACGCTCTCCCATCTTTTCTCCGCCCGGCAGCGAACCCGGCCGAGTGGGAGTCGGGTTTCCTGGACGCCGGCTCGTTCTCCGAGGTGATGGGCGGATGGGCGGAGACGGTGGTCTGTGGCAGAGGTCGGCTCGGCGGCCTGCCGCTCGGCGTTATCGCCGTGGAGACACGGACCGTGGAGGTGACGCTGCCGGCCGACCCGGCCAACCTCGACTCCGAGGCCAAGGTACGGATCGCTAGATGAAGCCGGGGTGATGAACAAAACAGGCTTTTATGGTAGGCTGAGATATCTTCGTTCTTCTGGTAGATTGTTCTCAATAAAATGCAAGCATTTTAGATTAACCCTATTAGTGGCAGGGGGGGGGGGGGGGGGGGGTTGTTTTTATCCACCCCTCAGGTTTTTCGGGAATATCTCGGAAACCGCTGAAGCTACGATGCTGAAATTTTCTGAATTTTCCTAAAACTAAATTGGGCTTATTCCCTGAAAATTTCAAGTTCATAACTTTACCAGGGGCGGCTCCAGAGCACTGGGAATTGGGGGTCCTATTCGTGAAGCGAGTCATTTGGGCGAAGATCACGATGCTGCACCAGTTTTACGAACAGTGAATGAAAGGTATCATGTGATAACATATACAGTTATTGTGCATCCTCTTTTGACACGTTTTTGCTATAATAGGCGGATCCAGGCGTCCAAAAAGGGGGGTTATGTTTTACCTCCCAACATAGGTGCCCTGACACCGCCTATGCATGACCAATACAATTGTAGTCGTTCTCTCACAAGAAAATTGTAACATAACAAGACCATTACCACCCTTTTTAGAAACAGCACCAACAAAAACCTTATTTACTATACTTTTTGTGTACCCCCAATCTCAATGATCTGTATCCGCCTATGATTTTTGAAAATGCATATTTTTAGGATCCATGTGAATTCCTGGTTCATTCTCTATCGATCGGCAAAAGTTGCGTTAAGATTGGTTCAGAAACCTGGCCGTGATAAACAGTCTAAAATGTATCTGCAATTTGCCCGTTTTTACCCCCCTCTACCCCCCTGTTGACATTTTTTAATTTTTATTTTTTAGAAATGTAGATCACGTTGAGCGAAATCGAATGCCGTTTGAATTTTGAAAATCGGCCCGTTAGATCTCGAGATATCAAGGGGGGGTCGTAAACAGCCCCCCCTGCCACTAATAGGGGTATACCAGGAGCCTGCCACTAATAGGGTTAACATGCATAACGAACGGTGTGTATGCATATTTACAATCGAATATAAAAAAGTCGTGGGAAGACCAATTTGTCAATGTCATTGCGCTGACGAGGAATGGTGGTACTGATGATTTTCCCACGTCAGATGCAGGTTTCGTGATTATTATAATTTGCAGTTGATGCTCTTTCCTGGCGCCCCTTTTCACTTCCCAGCTGACATCCCTCCCCGCGCGTCTGTCTGTACAGAAAATCTCGCAGGCTGGCCAGGTGTGGTTCCCCGACTCTGCCTACAAGACGGCGCAGGGTATCGAACTCTTCAACAGGGAGGAGCTGCCGCTCATCATCTTCGCCAACTGGCGCGGCTTCTCCGGCGGCATGAAGGGTGAGGCAGAACGGAGAGAGGGCCTGAGGAGGGAGAGAGATATAAGTCGGAGTAGGGCGAGCGGATGACATACGAGCGGATGACATACTTAATGCCTCATGAGTGGATGTCTCTTATTATTTACGATTTGGTCTCTCATAACTTATAAGGTACTTGGGAATGCAGATCATCCCTTCTCAATTATATTATCCTCGGCTATCCAATTATCGTTGGACTGCCGAAGCGACTTATACGACCCCGCTCTGCTTGACCCGATGCTCTCTGTTTTCCTCTTTTTAACCCGACGCCTAGCTAATTCCCCTGTGCTCCTTCTCCGGCCAGTCATGCACGACCATCCGAAGTTCAGCCCCCCCCCCCCCAGCTCTGTCTGGCTCCTCTAACTCCCCTCTGCTCTCTCTGTCAGACATATACGACCAGGATATGGGGAAGTTCGGTATTCTGACTCTGTTTGGTCCCTCTAACTTTCCTCCGTTCTCTCCTCGTTCAGACATGTACGACCAGGTGGTGAAGTTCGGCGCCATGATCGTGGACGGTCTGCGCGCCTACCGTCAGCCCATCATCGTGTACATTCCTCCGTACGGCGAGCTGCGCGGCGGCGCCTGGGTGGTGATCGACGCCGCCATCAACGACAGATACATGGAGATGTTCGCCGACCCCGACAGCAGGTCAGAGGGATAGACTGGAGGGAGGGACCGACCCCGACAGCAGGTCATGAGAGGGACAGGGGAGAGAAGGCCTGTTGTGTGAAGCGGCCAGATAGTGTGGTACCTACCGAAAGAAGGCTTTGTAATGATGTTAGTGGGCTACCTGCAGTGGCTGCTGCATTTTATTTTGTAGGACCCTGATGAGTTACTTTTTACCCGCACCTTTTCCGCGCAGCATCTCGGTGTTGCCGACACCGAGACGGTTGACAGCCTGATGCGCTCGAGTTTGCTAGTAATTTATTCGTGTTACATTCAGTAGCCATACCTTTCTCTACGCCCGTCAGTTCGACTCCAGCCCAGGGTCGTCTCGTCTACTGTCTCTAACTCCCTCACCTTCTCCCGTCCGCTCCACAGAGGTGGCGTGTTGGAGCCGGAGGGCACAGTCGAGATCAAGTTCAAGACCAAGGACCTCATCAAGTCGATGCGCCGGCTGGACAGTGAGCTGCGCACGCTGCTGAACGAGCTGAACCAGCCGGAGACAGCCGGCGAGCGGCGGGCGGAGCTGGAACGCCGGCTGTCGGCCCGGGAGCAGCACCTGCTGCCCGTCTATCATCAGGTGCGTGACGGTGAAGCCTGCTCAGCTCTGGTTCACCCTGCCGCTATCAGGCGCGAGAGAAACCCTTGAGAGTGAGGTGTGCTGGTCCTTACCTACTGTGGTATGGATGGTGGATGAGTGGCGTGTCCCAATCGTGATGCGTGGGTGGACCCGGGTGGTATTGTTTCATAGTTGATTTGTTGCAGGGCTTGCGCGACTTGGCCAACGAATCCGGCCCGGTGAGGGGGCGTGCTCGTGTGCCAGGTTGTCTATCCCATGGTCTTACCTCCCTCCGGGCCCTCGTCGGATGCATGACCTAATCATTTTCTAAGTTTGACACTCTCCTCTCCCTTGTGACTTAACCCCTATTCAGGAACGATAGTCCTTCCCCTTGCAAGGTCTGATCCCCCACCCTGGAATTATGTGTTGTCTGCCGTGCTGTCCAGTTTCCAGCTTAGCTAGCCTCTCCACTTCCCAATCATGCCTGACTACCCTCTTTCGTCTCCCAGCTATGTGTCGTTGTGACCTGATTCTCCCCTTATCTGACCTCCCCTCTCCCCCTCTCCCTGTCTGCTCAGGTGGCCGTTCAGTTTGCCGACCTGCACGACACACCGGTGCGTATGATGGAGAAGGGCGTCATCCAGGAGATGGTTCCTTGGGGCGAGTCACGCCGCCGACTCTACTGGCGGCTCCAGCGCCGGCTGCTCAGTCTGCAGGCGTGCCGACTGGTGGAGCGCTTCCAGCCCACCTCGAGACACCAGCACGTGCTCAGCAAACTGCAGCGCTGGTTCGTCGAGGACAAGGGAACCATGCAGGTACGCTGACGGGCCCAAAGGGAACTTCTTTTGCTACTGTGCTGTAAATTTATGTTCGTAGGACACTATATGGCGTATTTTAGCGTGCAGCTAATTCGGTTGGTAGTTTTTTTTTGCGATCAGTGAGGTTCAGCGTCAAGTGTCGACTGTTATCCGCCATCTTGCTGACATTAAATTACCGATACCATTACCATTACATACATCACATGTAATACATGGTACATGTAGTTACCAGTAACGTTACCGTTACCGTTTACAGAGTTACCAGTGGGATGACGACCAGTTGGTGTCCGAGGTGGCTCCCCTTTACCAGTGTTACCGTTACCGTTACAGAGTTACCAGTGGGATGACGACCAGCTGGTGTCCGAGTGGCTCCCCGTTAGCGTTATCGTTACCATTGCCGTTACCGTTTATAGAGTTACCAGTGGGATGACGATCAGCTGGTGTCTGAGTGGCTCTCCGTTACCATTACCGGTACCGTTACCGTTTACAGAGTTACCAGTGGGATGACGACCAGCTGGTGTCTGAGTGGCTCTCAGAACAGCTGGACACCAACAACGTCTCACACTCGATGCTGCTCGAGAACATCCAGTGTCTGGAGCGGGAGGCGGCCATGGCGCGCGTGAGACATACAGTACAGGTGAGACATTGATACATTGTGAGACAATGTGAGGAAATGTGAGACACCCAGTGTCTGGAGCGGGAGGCGGCCATGGCACGCGTGAGACATACAGTTCAGGTGAGACATTGTGAGGCATCCAGAGGCATGCAGAGACCATGTGAGACATAGAGCGAGAGGCGGCTATGGCGCGCGTCAGACATACAGTCCAGGTGAGATATTGAAACATGCATAAACAATGTGAGGCAATGGAGACTTGTGGGATAATGGGGGGATGTAGGCAGATGAGGGAAGACTGCTGGGATGTGATTTGACTGGATGAGAAAATGAGATTCGCAGTTTGGCAGTCCAATGCCATCTCTATTCGAATACGGCTCAGCTGTCATAAGCCAGATATTTTTAGGTCAATGCTTGCAAAATAACCAATGAAATAAAATAAAACGACTCCGACCCGGTTTGTAAGGGAAAAATTGTCTTCATTGTCATTTTTGAGGTAACGCTGAAGCATGATTCCAATGTAACAAAAAGGTTTCAAGAGCATGGTGTGCGTTAAAAACATGTTACGAGGTCAGGAGCTGAAAGTCTTGACACGACCTGACCTCACTGACCGTCTTTCGGCAGGCGCACCCGGAGATCTCGTCGGAGACGGTGCTGTACCTGATCCAGCACCTGAGCAAGCCGCAGCGCGCCGAGGTCATCAAGGCGCTCAGCACGCTGGAGAACACGGCGCCCGCCGCTCCGACCTCCGCCGGTCTGCCGGCCGGCGCCACCGGCAGCGACGTACCCGAGACGGACACGGGAACCAGCTCCGAGTGACACCAGCGCCGTGCCGCGGCCGCCGGCCGAGTTACAGTGTGATCCGCCGTCAGTAGATGGCGGGGGTGTCGCTCTCCGTGGGCGCCGCTCAAGGCAGGGTCCGGTGTGTTCGTAGGGTCGGGTGGGGTTGAGCCAGACTCTCGCGCCATGTCTCGACTACGGGATCATCTGTGTCTTAGCTGGAGAGATGATTACGTGGGTGGCTAGTTTTAGGGTCTCGCCGCGCCGCGCCGTCAGCCGCCGGTGGTTCCGTACCTGGCTGGCATGTCAGTGCAAACCGTGGGTCTCAGTGGGGCGGCCTTAGCGCAGTGCGTGTGTCTGTGCTGCTATGTCGAGCAATGGGAACTCTGTTTTACTCTGTGTCGCCGACCAGACTCGCCTGGGATCGGTCAATGATTGGTGTTCCGATTCTCCGAGCCGCCCGGAAGACGGATCGGCCCAGAATTCGCCCAGAATAGGGAGGATCAGATGTGTATTTATCTTGCTCAGACTCTGGCTTTTGTGGTGTAAGCGGCCTACCTCAGAGCTGCCGGTAACCTGCCGATCAGCGGAGGCACATTAGGGTTGCGGAAGGTACGACACCAAAGTAGCAGGATTTCTAGGGAAATATATATGTAGAGTTCCAGTGGGCCTAGGAAAACTGCTGATTAAGCTTTAGAGAGGGAGATTAACTTACCGCGCCGTTGCCGATTATTTAAATTGTGGTAGTACGATCGTTCCGGGATCAGTGAATCGAACCTATTTAGTTGTGTTGTAAGAAGCTAAGTTCAAGTGTATTGGAGTGTCCCGTACTGATGATTCTCTGCTAACTCGAACTGCTTGCGATTGATTTAGGTGGGCGGTGTTAACTGTGGAATTATTGGCGGCGAAAATCAGTGGGGCAGATGAGGGCGGCCGGGACCGATCCCGTCATGAGCTCAGCACTCGGCAGACGACTGGTACGACTGGTGTCCTTAGTGCTCGGCCACCTGCAGTCTCTGCTCACGCCGTTCAAACGCCGATATACATATGCTATACAGATAAACTCGTTTCATGTATTGTCAGCCGCTTGTTTATTTTTATCGACAAATTGCGATGTGTTTTCTTAGTCGGTAACCAACCTCAAACGCCGTATTTGATTCCCGTTGTTCTCCAGCGTTTTCGGTGACTGTGACTCGCCAATTGAATGTTCTCCTCGGCTTTGATTATCGTGCAATGTGCTCGTGGTAATTCTGATTGGCCTGCAATGTGCTCGCGGTAGCTGATTGGCTGACAGTGTGCTCATGGTAGCTCCGATTGGCTGACTGTGCTCGCGGTAACTCTGACTCTGCCGGGTCCGGACTGTGATTGTCGGCCGTGTGTTCGTTTGTCGGGTACGTGGCCCGGCCAGGTAACAGGCGGTCCCGTCGGTCACTGTACCCTGAGCTCGATACTGCAGCGGTAGGGCCGGGAGAGCCACCCGTGCCGACCGGGCGCGCTCACAGCAAGGAGATATATTTTGAAACGGCGAATCGTCGGCGATCGTTCATGTTGTGTGAAATATGCAAGGGTGGCAATGCGACCATAGGCCAATAAATGTTCATGTATGGTATAGCGATTTTGTCAAATACGAGTATGTATGACGCAAATCGTAACAGTCGCACGTCTTTTTGTATGCATAAAAGCAGAGCCGTCGGGCAGCTCATAAGACAGCCAACAATCGTCTCGAGCACTGGCAGCGGCAGGTAGCACTTAGCAGCAATAGTTGACAGAGCGGCTGTGGTTTACACATTAGCCTCGAGTAGAGGGTTAGGTTTGGCAGAGACGTTTGTAAGTGCCATATCTTCAAACTCTTTCGACCTAAAAAAGCCATTGCAGAGCCACAGGGTGATGAGATAGGGCGTAGACATTGGACTTTGCGGACGCCTCTGCCCGTACGCCGCAGCCACGAAGACCGTCGCCGCGTAGCGAAAGTGCTCTGAGTAGACATTTCGTCCTGCCGCTCAAACGGTCACCCCGGAGAGGCCTTGAGTCCGAACGAGACCTTGTCCAGTGTCCTCGCAACCGGTTGTCTGGTGGGGATGACCGCTAAGCCACGGAAAGGGTAGTCGGCGAGTAAGGAATCTGGAAACTGATTGATGGGTTTGTCCTGGGGCTGGCAAGGACAGATGGAACTTGGATGGAACGTTTCTTTTTTCGCTACTTTTTGTCAGACGAAAGCAATGTGTAGCGAAACGGTTAGCAAATTATTACTCAGTCGTTGATTTGCTCGGAAACTTAAAAACTGCGGTTCCAAATATTTCAGCTCCACCCAGTATGTGACCTTGAAACTCAGGAAGCATCTCTAAATAACGAAATTTTGTCGAAACGAAATCCATACTTATGAGCAGTAACGTAAAAACAAAGTGAAATCTCATTTTGAAATTTGTTTTGATTTTCAATTTGAGCCTTTTTAATGCTCAATTCTGCTTCTTAAGCTGAAAAAGGGCGTGGGAAAATATTCATCACCGTGGGAAAACCGACTCAAATGCATGAATTTGTCGGTTTTTAGTCAAACGTATGCCTGAATGCTAGGCCAAATATCAAAAATGTTATTCATCGTGCCAAATTCATAACATTGGATCCAGATGAGCCCTAGAATCGGACATTTTCGATGGCATCTCTGAGAAATATTTCGTAATTGGTTGATGCTCCGATGCGTGAGAGAAGTGTAGGCAGTTGCGCCGGAGGCGTTTCGAACTGGTAAGAATGCACTGCCAATTATTCGTGGTCGGTGATTCTAGTGACTGCCATAAATTGCTGTAGAAGGTTCGGAACTTATAATTTGGTACTTTCAGCAAGTTTATTACAGTTTAGTAGCCCGCAAAGATCTTCCATAGTTGGTGTTTTTGCCGCCGGAAGGTGCGCCACATTGTCTCAAGCGCTGAATGTCAGTATCAAAATGAGTTTCAGTCATTTTTTTAGTTTGTTTTTCATAAATTCAAGAGGAAAACGCATGTTTTAGGATCTAAGTTCAAGGAGGACAACTAAACATTTTAGAACATGGATTCCGCTGCGCGCATCACGATATGAATGGGCAATGGCACCTATTAAATCATGCATTTGTGCTTGTATAGTCTGATAAGTTAAGCCTGGCTGATCACTTTCATTGCTCAAATGCTGATTGCATGAGATGATCAATGGGGATAAATGAAAATTTACAAAAGTACCTAAATTGAGAGCAAAATTAAATTTTCAGCCAGAAAGTGTTTGAAAGGAATTGAGGCTTTACATGTACTTATCATAAAGCGCTAAGTGATTTGACAGCCTAAAATAGTCAGATTTAAGTTGATGTCATGGTTTTGTTTGATTTACTTATTCTTTTCTAATTATTTTTGCATTGATATTTTTTTGCATTGGCTCTCCTTGTTTTATATTTTCAGATCCACAAAACGCGATCTTAAACTTTTGCAATACGCTGTGCAGTGTCCACCCTCGGTCCGCATATTGATGCTATTTTTTAGCTTGGTGTCATACTTGTGTTATGGAAATCTGGAGAACTTTTTTCCAAACCATTTGAGTGTAAAATGACCTTTGTAGTTGGCATGATCAAAAGCTTCAATAAAGGAGCAAGCTTATTAGAGTATTATCTGATGAATCAAAACATATTGTGAGAATATAATATCCTGTTCTAAGCTTCTGAGCTTTGCAATAGTTATGATGTTAATCTGCGTCCCAAGCACTGTTTGGCTGGTGCTGTCTTGACAGCCTAGTTTTCACAAGAGCATGTGGGTTCAAATTGTTTGTGAATGAGGTTTAAAGCTAATAATTTTCACCATTGGCAGTGCAAGAAGCTTCAGCAAGTATAGGCTCATGCTGGAGTCCATTCTGAATAACGGAAACCTGTTGATAGAAATTGGTTACCGAGCAATAGGTGCTTTCATGCATGCCAGATGTTAAACAGATTGCTAATTGTCATCAAAAGAAGCAAAGGCCTCATTGCCTACAATACAAGGTAACCCTTCTTTGGTGGTGTGGTGACACTCTTCACCTTCTTCAGAAGGCAAATCTGGCTGCCTTTTGTTTCACATCTGAGAATGTTTGTAATGGCAGTTTTTTATATAAATTTAATCCGAGCCTAATGATTGGAAGGATTCACAAGCACAGAGCCCCTGCGAAGCGAAGCTTGTTGCGGTGACCCTGCCCTCTACCCTCCGATCGCGCAAGGCAATTCCGGCTCAATGACGGAATTTGGAGTCCAAAGTTTAACGTGCGCACATAGTCGCGCACGGCCTAATGTTTGTTGTTGTTTAAGCCTCTCCCAAAGATAGGTACTCACCTAGGCACTTATGGGCATGCTAGCATCACATAAGACATACCTACAAAATCACTGTTCTTCATTTTCTTTGTAATGGGTGTTTTGGAGTGATTTAATGTTCAGGCTTGAGGTTTTCTTTGAAAAGCTGATTAATAATGTGAAATACCACATTTTTCATGAATTATGATGTACTTTGGCACTAAGCTCACATTGTCTTTAGTCTGGCATTATTGATTATAGTGACTGGAACCTGAAGCTTCATCCTCATGCAGCTGGCTGCTTACAGGAAGTCTAATGATGATTTAATCTGAATGGTTCAATATGCTTTTCAAGAATCGTACCTGTCTTCACTTTAGCATTATACTTTTTCGCCACCAAGCTCAATTCAGGATGCTCTTTCCAGCATTCAATTGTGACTTTTTCGCCATTGTAGCCTGACTAGTTGTCTGTTGGCGTTAGCAGGTATCTACCGTAGTGTCATACACTATCGCTGAATGTATTGGTACCTGAAGCCAAATGGTGCCGGTAAATACTTATCCCTAAAGGTTACTGTGTCGATACCGTTGCCAGTTTAAGAGTAGGTAGGTACCGGTAATTCCCCAAAGGTAATGTTACCGGTACCTGCAGCTGAAGGGCATCGGTACTTGCTTGGTGACTGTACCGGTGTACCAGTACCTGCGGCTGTCGGCCTCCGGTACCGTCCGTACCAGCCGCTGACGGTGGCGCCCCCTGTCCGCCTTTTCGCACCCCCGCCAGGTGTCGGCGCCGCGGTCCGCGTCCACTGTCCTCTCAGCCCCAGTAACGGCCGCTCTCCGTTCAAACCCGACTCGTCCCTCTGACCCTGAACCGGCGCTCCCGATCTCACGGTCCGCCCGGTGAACAGTGGCGGCGGAAACCGCCCCGAGTCCGAGCGGTTTCCAGGGGGCCGTCCGTCCCACTGTCCGTCTCTGACATCAGGCGCGTGGCCGGGCTCAGCTGGGTGGGTGACGTTAGAGGTTGTCGACAGGAAACTGATTGATATTGGCGTATTTTAGGGTGGATCATGGGGAAGGGAAGGATCAGAGTGGAACCAAACATTAATGTAATAACATGCTGTTACTTTCATGTGAATCTGTTTGAAACCGAAGCTTTCTCCATATGCCAGTGATGTTGTGTGGTTGGCAAGGCCGGTGCTGATCTGCCACAATTTCGATTTTTGACTAATTGCTCTCATTGTGTAAAAAAAAACAGTGTTTCTGTAAAAATAACAAATCCATTGCAAACACCACTTAAGTTAGTTCACCAAAAAGAAATAGCGGACTTCTGTGTTACAACCCCGTCCCCACTCGGACCCGGGTCCCGTCCTTCCGCCGCTCTCTCTGTGTCACCGGGTGCCTCCGCCGCCGACCGTCATCAGTCACCACGTGCTGTATTTGTGGCGGCGTCACTCGTCACTCTCCGTCCCTCTGTCCCGTCACTCTCCGTCCCTCTGTCCCGGCGGCGTGATGACGGCGGTGACGGCTCCGCGGAGAGGGATGACGGATCGCAGAGTGTTTGTGCCATCAGCTCTGCCGCCACCGCCGCTGACTATTCATGCTTCTGTCTTTCCTGGGTTTCTCTGGTGTGACACGACGCACAGTTTGTTAGTTGTGGCATCTAAAGTAAGGATGTTTTTATGCAGCATGTATTGTTAACGAGTTACTGACTGTATATTGTTTGTTGCAGATTGCTAGCACGGATAAACTGCTGATCGCTTTCAGGTAAGTCAAACTCGGGTCTTTATCAGTGCGTGTTTCTGGTGGTGGCGGTGGTGGTCTTTTGTTGTGTCGACTGTAGTGTTTAGTGTTTCGTGCCTGACTAGTGCGATTTCCGTTGGAGGCCATTTCCCCTCGTCTCTGTGTTTCTCCGTTCGTTTATCGTCCACGCGATTTTGAGCGTTGCTACTCACGCCGTACCCAAACAATAACTGAACACCACCCGTCGGTCTGCCGAAATGTCCCCGGCGGTGTCTGTGTCACGAAATCTCGCTGTCTGTGTCGGAATGATGACGGAGAGCTCCGGCCGTCACACTGTACGGTGACCGATGACGCCATGAAAGTCTGATGAAGACGTGGCCTAGTGTGCGGACTGTGGTCGACACTCGACGGCGCAGACCGGAGCGCCTGCCGACAGTATCGCCGAAACGGCTCGCTATGACTCAGGCTTCCAAGCTCAGGCTCAGGTGACTCGCCGCAGAGTTGGACCCGCAGCGGGTCGGGTGGCGGCGCGGCCACGGTATTTGAAGCGGCTCGCGGGAGGCTCTCACGGTAGCCGGCCGTTCTCAGGAGTGCGTGCCGCCCGTTCGCCAGCACTTCCTGTCATTTGTCAAAGTGGCTACTCATCAGCCTGGTACAATCACGGTACCCGTGAACAATTACACTGATTTAGAAAGGCGTTCGTCTCTGGGCCGGTTCCATTGCTACCTTGCAGATCATATGCTTCTTAGTGACGCATGCATGATTATGAATCTTTCCCTAGCGAGAAGCGTTTGGCCCTGGTAGCCGGCAGGCCAGCGGAGACCCCTCTTCGAATTTAATTACAGTGCCAGGCTTAGTAGCGGTGCGGTGACGGAATCGTCCCGTGACGATATTTGAGGAAGGATGGATCAGATGCGATCCGTGACGGTTCCACGGAGAATCTGTCGGCCGCCGACTGGCATCACTGGTGGGTTAACACATTTCACGCGCTCTGCCGGCTAAATGAAAGATGTCTTGGGGAATTTGAACGAAGTGGTTCGCACCACCTGCACAACGTGAAGGCGTGGAATGGGATGGCCTCTCTGTTTAGCCCTACCACAGCTGAAATCTCCCTGGGTTGTTTTTCTCATTTCACGCTGATGTTTGGGAGTTTGTCGTGTAGTGAACTGAAGGATGGTAGGTAGCTTTACTTGTCTCATTTCACGCTGTTATTTGGGAGGTATGTCAGATAGGTATGCTTCAGGATTTTAGATTGAAAGAAAACATCGGTGTGGAATTTTACGCTTACTAGGTCGTTACAGTTATGGGATTCTAACTGCCTACGAAGGTGCTCCAATGTGAAATTCTCGGGTAGGGGACTGAATCAACTGTGACTCAGCTACTGGACTTTCCAGCAGCAACGGCAATCAGATCCGGATAACCTTTAGCCCAGAAACATTTCTTACGGCGTCTTCACGATCCTGACCGGCCCTGTGCGTTGCACTGCGCCGGACTGCGGTGCACTGCGCGCCGGTAGCACCCACTGCCGGCGCCCGCCCGAGGTTGGGTGGGGTGCGACGTTCTGCCGGTCATCACCCCTCTCGGCGGCCGGCCGTGGCCGTGGCGTCGGCCGTTTTCCCGTGCTTCCGTGCGCTGGCCGCTCCCACGTGGCCGTGTGAGAACACCTCGCCGCCGCCGCCGCCGTGCCGACCTTGCGCCTCTGCGCGGCGCGGCGCGCACCCGCTCCCTGAATAGGTGTAGCTTATGATTAATCCGGCCGCCACGACGGCGCTGGTAATTACTGGCTATTAGAGCGGGCTCATTTCCTGCGCGCTGACCCGACCCCTGACCCGGGCCACGGCGACGGTGGGACCGCGCGGCGGCCTGTCCCTGCGTCTCGCCCCCGCCGCGTTCGGTGGGTGACGGTGCCAATGGGGAGCGTGCGTGAGCCGATCGCGACTCGGCGGTGACTTGCGAACCACCGTCGGCTAGGTGCCGACAATGCCGGGCTGACGACCACCGGGTTACCGACAGCTCTGTGGAATCACGTAAACATAGCGTATCTGCTCCCATCGCTGAATGTAGTGTTGTCGACTCTAGCGGCACCGTTCATTCTGACTGGACGCGGGGATATCGATCTGGGCAGGTGCTGCTGTGCTCCCCTGCTCCCTGCCCTCCCTTCCTCCCCCTCCGTTACCCGTCACGGCGGCAGTAGACCGATGGTTTGGATGTGCGGGATGGGTGCGTTTGTACCGCCCCCGCAGAGCGATCGCCCGCCCCTTGTCATTACACAGTAGACCTCCGTCCTCGCCCTGTCTAAATGTCGGCCACTGGCGGAGGCGGGGCAGTCTGCTGTCAGCGATACCACGAGCATGGATGAAGGAGAACCTTTCATCCATGCCACGAGTGTGTGGGAGGCTTGGTCACGGTGCGACCAGCGACCAGCAGTGGTGTCAACTATCAGCGACGTATTTACTACCGCTGGCCCGAGCGGCGGACTAACTGTACATAGTGCGTATCGCCCCAGTCGCTGCCCTGTCGCCGGTCTGCTCCGTTGGTCCCAGCGGCGGACCACTGCGGCGCCCGGTGCCTTATCGGCCCTGCTGCTGGTCCGCTGCAGCACGGTGGCGCATCTGTTGAGATACAGCAGCTTTCAGCAGCCGCCGTTCCCATCCAAGATTACTTTACTATAGGTTCCCATCGGCGGCGCGCTGATCGGACGGCCGATGTCGCGCCGGTCCTGTGAACGCCTGGACTCGCACTGCCACGGCGCTGCGGTGCGGCTCGGCGGCGTTTTTAGCGGCTGGACGCTGCGTTTTTTCATCACCACTCTACCTGATTCACCGTCCGGCGAGCAGTTTGTTGCGGCGCTGCACTGTTGCTCGCCGAAAGAAAGCCGGCTGGAGATCGCCACGGCCGTCGAGACCGGAAGCCGGTGGCTTTCCCACGCTCCCTGCGCCGAAACCAGCTGGGGACAGATTCGTGGCGACACAGATTTGCAGAGTTGCCGCCGGCCTCTGGCCGGATTACGGGTGCAAACAGACGACGAAACGACGTGGTAGCGACAGTCTGCTGTCTTTGTTCTGATTGGAGTTGCGGTCGGCGGTGGCTGGTTTCGTCAGAACTGAATGCGTGCGCCGTGCGGTGCGGTGGTTTTCTGAACGCGGCCGGGGCGGGACTGTCACGCTGTGACTAGACAAGTCGTGATGAGAGCTGACAGTATCGACAGACCGCCACTTGGTCGCACATTTTCCAGTGATTCGAGCCAGATCATTCCAGCAGTATTTTTTAGAGATATTTTTCATTTAGTCACACTGCTTGAATTTTTCAGATTCAGGATGGCTGGAGTTCATTTTTTTGCGCTAGTTTGATTCAGACATTTCCCCTTATTTTATAGTTGAAACCTAGCTTACCTTGAGTCGTCTACCATCTGGGTTTCACAGAGTGGTTGGGCTGCAGATGGACCTTAACCCTCGCCCGTAAACGGCGATCTGCCACCTTCGCCCATGCAGGGGGGGGGGGGGTTGGTGCGACCCCCCCCCCTTGGCGTTTGAAAACGGAGCGTCGTAGAGCTTAGCGGAAAAGACCAACGGATTGCTCTCGCCGAGATCTCGCGATTGGTGGTATATTTTTTGGTCCTAGGTCAACATTTGACCTACTTTTGACCGGTCAAAGGTCAAATTTTCGGAAAAATATACTTTTTCAAATTTTCCGCGGCGATTGCGGCAAAACGGTGGGAGATGTCGACTTGAAACCTTCACTATCGTGTTCCTTGATCAATTCTCTATCGTTTGGTATGTATTTCGTTTCCCTAGCTCTAAAAATGGCGCGTTGGGAGCGCCGGAAGTCGGCAAGGTCACAGTCGGCGGCAGAAATTCGAAAAATCAAAATTTAAATTTTTGAAATCTGATTGTATTTTTGGATTTGGGATGTCCATTTGCTCCCTATAGAAGCTAATATTGCTGCATATTCCCATTGAGGTGACAAGAATTAGCAAAATAGTGGTTCGGGCGCTTTTCAAAAATAGTACCGGACGCTGTTCCTCTTGTGACGTCATAGCTCCGTGACCTGACCTGACCCGGTCAAGTTTCTTACACCATATGATAGCCAATACTTGCCCCAACATGCCTGGGAAGTTTCATCACGATCCATCAACCGATGTCCGTACCACCGGCAGGAAACCTCGGGCGTTGGCACTCAGTTTGTGAAAATCCGGCCGGAGGCTGTTCCCTTTGTGACGTCATAACTCCGTGACCTGACATGACCCGGTCAAAATTTTTTTATCAAAAGATGCGCAAGGTTTGCCCCATAAGGTACCCAAAATTTGGCGGCGCTGCGCGCCGCCGTTTTTGCACTATTTCCGAAAAACCTCAGGGGGGGGGGGTTGCACCAACCCCCCCCCTACATGGGCGAGGGTTAAATGCTTTTGAACAGCGGGTTTGTTAGGGTTTACATGCATTTTCATATATCATTGCATGCACTTTCATCAAGTATTTATATTGCCCCAAATGTGTAAATCCGGTTTCTAAACAAATTCGTTTCACTGCACGACCTACCGACCAGCCTACCGCACCGCTTGTGATCCGAAACACACGAGGCTCAGCCGGTTTCGTCACACTTTGGAAGACATGCAGAGAGCATGCCTTTCATCACGCATTCGACTAAACTATTGCTAGTGCAAGCTGTTCCTGTAAGTTTAAACTTAAACGATGTTGTTGTAATTCTGCTTTTTCCGATATTTTGGGAAGACATAGCCTTCATATCGCCCGGTGGAGCGCCGGTGGTGTTCGCTGACTACTCTATGTATTTGGTTCAATGTTGTGCTAGCCCTCCGGACGTTTGAACAGTCCGATCAAAGTATTCCTTATTCCCTTACTCAAAGTTTGGCCACCAGTGATGCTCGGCCGCTCCGCTACTCTTGTTCGGATTCTCTAAGTCGAGCTTTGTGCTTTGCTTTGGGTTATTTCATTGGGTAAAAACTGTTTCTATCGTTTCATGTTTTATTTTGTGTTTTCTGTCACGGGTGCCATGCTCTCTAATCTCAATCACTGTCTCTTTACCCGTCTTCGTACTCTGTCCATTGTCGGGGAGCCCTGTACCCAATCTTTCTTACCATTTATCGTCTGTTCCGTAACGTATGTCCCATCTCGTCCCCTCTCACCCCATCCCCAAACATATACCCCGCCCTCTGTGTTCGGTGAGCGCTGACGGGTGTCGCCGGTTGGCAGCTCTCTCAGAACTCCTCTCGTGATGCAGCGTGGGACCGCCGTCCGGCGCCGCCCCGGCCCACACCTCATGCACTGCCCACGCCGTGTCTCTCTGCCTGTGCCGCCGTGTGTCCCTCCGTGTCAGTGTCAGTGTCAGTGCCGCAGCAGGTGGACGTCCGCGGGGATCTGAAAACAGACGGGTGTGTCGGTAGCTCAGGTGGGTCGGCCATCGCTCATAAACGGCCTGTCACTCGTTTTGTTTGTGTGCCACTGTGCCCCGTTATGCATGTGTGCATGATCAGTGTGCCATTGATGCATCCCTGGTGCCATGTGACTACTGCCCTGCTGGTATCTCATCACCCACCTTCTGTCCCGCTCCTCTTCTCACCCATCAGTGTGTGTCCGTTACAGCCGAACCGATCCTACTCCGGGGTGATCCTCCTGCTGTACTGATCCGAAGACAGTGCGCCCGGACACACTGCCGGAGCGCGCTGTCAGAGATGGCTGCTCCGGCGTGCCCGATGGACGCGGCCAACACCCTCCTGCTCCTGTCGGCCGGCTCCAGCGGCGTCCAAGGACTCCCGACGGACTCCTCCGGTACCGTCCGAAGTCTGCAGGACTCCTCCGGCACCGTCCGGAGTCTGCCGACGGACTCCTATGACGTCCTCCCAGCTCCGCCGGTGGACTCCTCCCGCACCATCCAGCTGGCGCCAGTGAACCCGCCGTCCGCCACTCTCCAACTCCTGTCCGGGATAGTCCCGACGCCCGGCCTGCTGGCAATGGTGGACTGCCGACTGCGGCACCAGCAACAGCAGCTACAGCGGCCGCTCAGTTTCCTACTCTGGAACCCAGAGACTCCGCAAGTGCTCCATCCGGTCTCGGTGGTCTATATCCTGTATCCGGCCAGCTCCACCAACCTACCCGCTCAGGTAAGTTTCCTGATATGTCCCCGGTGTCATTGTAGAGGTGCCCCTTGAACCATATGGCCATTTGTAAAGAAGCAAACATTAGTAGTACTTGCCATTTCCCAACATATCCATTTGTTTCAGTTCATGTATTTAGTTGTTGCCTTCTGAATCCTAAGACTCCTTATGTGCGTGTATGGCTCCTTATGTTTCATAACTGCGTGTGTGTATTGTAAGCCTCTATACCGATATGGCTGGTCCTCCGGTCGGTCTGAAGAGCCCAGTCCAGTCGCCAGTCCCGTGACCGCTCCGGCTTGTCCAGTCGCCATTCCCGTGACCGCTCCGGCCCAGTCGCCAGTCCCGTGACCGCTCCGCCCCAGTGGCCAGTCCCGTGACCGCTCCGCCCCAGTCGCCAGTCCCGTGACCGCTCCGGCTAGTCTAGTCACCAGTCCTGTGACTGCCCTGGTCCAGCCGCCAGTCCTGTGACCGCTCCGCCCCAGTCACCAGTCCTGTGACTGCTCTGGTCCAGCCGCCAGTCCTGTGACCGCCCTGGCCAGACGGCCGGCCGACTGGTCACGAGTGGACACTTTTCTGCACCTCGGGGACGCTGAGAGCTTGGTCACACCGCGCCCCGCCGACAATCTTCGCCGTCTGTGCATTTTTGACGGCCGCTCAGATGGGCGCCCATTGTAATTGGCCGCTGTGCTCGCCAGTCAGGCCCGCCGACCCGGCTCTCTGATGAGCGGTGTGTCACGGACGATGCGACGTTTTTCATCGATCCCAGTCGGGGACGTTTCACTGAGCTCCGCGCACACCAGGCGATGGTATCTGCCAGAGAGGGTTCGTCTGGTTCGGCAGAGAGTCAGCCACGACTAGGCTGCAGAAGAATTGTTTTGTCAACGGTATCGGCATTACGTTGAAGTTTTCATTTGTGTCTGCCAATTATATTGTTCAGAAAGTCCCTCTTTTCAGCGTTGTTTGCTTTACTGATCAAACAGCGCTGTTTCAACAGGTGTGGGAACATGCTATTTTTAGCTGTTGTCGCGATAAGTTTGTGCACGACACTTTCTACATGACAAGTATCTGATTTTATGGTGGCACTGACCCGGTGAAGCAAGACATCCAACATGGGACCCAGTTTATGAACTGGCGAGAGACTGGGTGGTGCGTTTCTTCTTCGTTCAGAATCGTGCTCTTGACTCTTTCAAGACTCTAGGCTTGCGTCTTTTTGTCTTAGAATGGCTATCTTCTGGAGAATGTGGCCGGCCTGTATTCAGTAGTCTCGGTACAGACCTGACACGGGTCGGTATTTTGACCGGTGACCCTCCCGGCCCTCTGACACCCTCCGCCCGTCGCCGTCGGTCCGGAGCGATCGGTGACAGCTGGCCGGCCGGAGGCGGCGGCGGCGGCGGCGGCCTTGCCGTCCGGTCTGCACTGGGACGGCCGTTCCCACGCCGCCGCGTCCGGAGCTACTTCCGGAGGTCGTGAGGCGGCCGGAGCGAGCGGGACGCGCCGCGCCGCTCTGACCGGGCCGCGCTAATCCGAGACCAGCGACGGCCGGCGTCACGAGCACCCCGGCCGGCCGCCGAGCCGGCGTCACCGCGGTGCGGAGTTTGGGGCGCCCCGACCTTGGCGGCGCACAAGTAGAGCGGTGGCCGGCCGTTTGTTCCGGCCAGGCCGGGCGGGCGGCGCGGGGTCAGGCACCCCGCGGAGGGTCTCATCGGAAGCCGGCGGATGAGCAGCCTAATGACAGGTATCCCGCGCACCTGTCGGGCGGTAGGGGGCGCCCGCTCCCCTCCCCCCGGACGGCCCTGATGGGAGGGTAGGAGGGAGAGCGGCCACCCGCCAGAGTGGTCACTGCCGGACGCTGGGTCGGACGCGGGCCGTGCAGCGCTGTCCGAGACGGTGTCTCTCCCTCTCTGCGCGTGTCGTGTGCCGCCGTGTGAACTCTGTCTGCTCGGAGTGCCGCGCAGCAGACCCAGCGCCACGCGACCCGCTGCCGCCGCACCAGCTGATCGTCCTGTGAACCGCCCACCCGCCTGGGAACATGACGGTACGTCGGGGATCGCGCCGCCAGCAGTTGGTTGGCGGTTGACATGGGCGTGTCATATTGAGTATCGGCTACTGGGCCGCCGCGGCTGCGCGTCGTATGATGGGGTGACATGGTACAGTTCGATGCGAATTGCAGTGATGGTTCGCTTCATGGATAGATATTGACTGGAATAGGTGGATGGTTGAGCGATGTTGGAGTATCCATTATGTTCACCATCGATCGCTCGCACGGGGCATCATTTTTAATGCCCGTTTCATGCGAGGATCCTCTTCCTTCCGAGGCATCTGCCCACAAAGGCTGTTGTTTTATTTTATGCGTGCACGCAATGGCGTACAAAAACAGCGGCGAGCTACCCATCCCTCGATGGGCGCCGCTCCGTGTCGAATGGGCCCGGTGTGTGTGCGAGCGGCCCGCTCTCCTGTCTAAGGGCAGTTCGGGTGAATGCGGCCGTTAAATTCTGCCAAACGGCCGTTCCGAGTGATTGTTGCCGGCTGGAATTGCCGCGGCCGACCGGCTGCCACCTATTCACGAGGAGTGAGGTAGGGGAACGTTTAGGGGTCGGTGGGGAGCGGTGCGGTCCTTGATTAGCGGCACAGAGGCGGAATTTAACCGCCGGGATGGTCACATTAGTGCCGCTGGGGTAGAACCATCAACTAACGATCATAATTGGCGATAATGGGTGCTTGAATTGATTTTTGGTTCATTAACAATGAGAGGTAGGTGTTCTACTGATTTCATTACGATTGGTAGGCATTGGAGAGGTTATAGATACGCCGTTCAACTTTCTTCTTTTCGCCTAATACTCATTCTTATACAAATAAGCAATGGTGCTGGTAAATCCATGCAGCACGTTTCAAAAGACGGCCCCGTATTTTGTCTGCCCGACACCAAAACTATGTCACAGCCGTTTACGTCATGTTTGGCTGGATCGAGAGCCCGAATTTTTCAATTAAAGACCTCGTAATCGTCACGCGTGGTGTGAACGAACTAGGAAATCCCGCCCAACATCAAAACTTGTCACGAAAGTCGCCGTCCTCTAGCGAACTGCGTGGAGTGTTCACACTATACTGTGATCAGCCGGGGATCATCGTACCGGCAGTTTATGTGTATGACATTTGCCACCCGAAAAATAGAGTCACTGGCGGGCAGAGCCAAACGATAGGTAATGTCGTGCCGATCGCTCTCTTTTCCAGGCCGATTTCTGATCACATCCGGCCATTGCAGTCAGTGCAGGAGATATACAGACTGGGAATTCTATGAGACCCTCTGTTCCTGGACATTCTATGTGGATGAGCGGGAATTGAGGACGTAGCGGTGCTGTGGGGTCGCTGCCCTTCGCCCTGTTTCAGTCCATGTTGAGAGTGCTGGGAGTGTGAGTGCTGTTGTTCAGAAGGCACGATGGTCGCTGTTTTTCTGGTTCAGATGTGACGCTGCTTTGTTCCACGTCTCACCGTTCTCACGTGAAATGACGTCACGACTGACATCACAGGCAGCGTGTGGACATTGGCATGATTTGTCTCAGCAGAGGAGAGCTGTGTCTTTCATGAACTGACAGTGGAACTGTCAGATGGCATTGCTCAGCAGAGGAACATATGTAGAGCACGGACGTTATTGCCGGCTTGGCAGTTATGCTGCTAGACTTAAAGCTAATGGGCAGTGAAGACTGCCCAGGATTCCCCTGCCACGATCCTCTAACCTGAAGTAGGAATAGGTGGCACGCGCCATTGTGGACGATGTGTGTGACACGCGTCAGTTTGTCTTGGAGTGTGTGGCTATGCTATCATCTGTTCTCCACTCGAAAGTAAAGCTCGCGTGGCACGCGCGACTCCACAGTGCAGTACGTGTGTGGCACGTGCCACTCAGTACACATAGCACGTGTGGCACGCGTCACCATCCGGCCGGTAGCCGTGCCTCTGCCGGGCTCCATCCCAATTAGCCATCATTTCCCGCTGGAACTGCTGCGTCACGGCCTGGAATGCTGAGAGGCGGACGGACCGTCCTTCCCACTGGGTTACGAGCTGTGTCGCTGTCGGATGGTGTGGGACGGGTGTCAGCGCCGGAGCTGTTTATTTGCCGGACGCTGGCCGACGGTGCTACCGAGCCATTAGCTGCTGGGACTGGGATTGGATCGGGCTGTGACTACCCCGTGACGCATGGACGCTGTGCTGGAGCCGGCCAGCAGCCGCGGCCGGCAACGCCTCTCTGTTTATCCAGACCGATCGGCAGCAAAAATGCAGCCGGCTCGAGTGGCGACGGCCGCTGCAATGTCGCCGCTGCAGCCGTGGCGCCGTCGGCCTCCTGTCGTTCTCATGGTGCAGCCGACGGCGTTCCCACGGCGACCTGGTTCGCGCCGCCGCCGGGAGATGGCAGCAGCGGCCGCGTGCGCCGCCGCCGTGCCGATATGAGAAATCGGCCCGGCCGTGGGAACCGAGGAGCGCGCCGCGGCCGTAATTGTAGACATCCTGTGTTACGTGCCGAGCGGGCTCGTTGGTCGGGCCGGACGCGCGGCCCTCGCGCGACCAGAATGAATGGCAGAGCCGGGTGTGACCTGTGACCCGAGCGGCCGCACCGCAACCTTCTGCCGTTTTTAGCGGCCCAAATTGCGCCCGAGGTCGCCAAGTTGAAGGATGGCTATGATTATGTCATTGTTCGACATGACAGTTTGCCCTGTGCTAATTGTAGTCGAAATTGCGAGTAAACGGAAAGTGTATGATTCCGTACTATCGCTCATCCTGAATTGGTGTGCGTTTCTATTCAGCGTGACAATCATCGTGAGTGACCGGTTTAGATTCTATATCTCGATTTCATGGCGTTAGTATTAGGCGCGCCGTTTTCTGCCGATGGTCTCGGAATACGATAATAATGACACCCTGTGACAGTTTCCCTCATCTGGGAAACTGGGCGTGACGAAGATGCGTGGCACCCCCGCCCAGGTTCACTGGGAATTCCCTCCGTGGGAGTCCGGTCATCG